GATTTACTGGATGAATTCACCAGATGATCCATCAATCGCAGAAGATCCTTATCTTCTGCGTATGCCTTTCGTACGTCGTCAAGTAAACTTGACGTCGGAACACTGACTGACAGTGTCGCAACAGTGGGCTTATCCTCACTGTCGAATTGTACGTCTGGCTCGAAATCGGGCCAGCGCGAGAGCGCATCAGAGACGACATTAAGTCGGCCTGGTTTATACTCTACGGAGAAGTTATACTCCGCGAAGAAAGACAGCCACCTCGCCATTTTTTGCGAGAGGTGCGGGCTGTTTACGGCCGTGCGTAATGACGCATGATTCGTATAAACAACAAACGGTCTATCTCCCAATAGATAGACGCGAAACTTAGCCAGTGCGTGCTTCATGGCAAGGAGTTCTTTGTCATGTACTGGGTAATTGCATTCAGCTGCTTGCAGCTGACGCGACTGATAACAGATGACGCGCTCCGCGCCATCTGCATCGTACTACATTAACGCACAGCCGATTGCAAAATCGCTGGCGTCATAGACCACATGAAATGGTCTGTCCTGATCTGCAATCGCCAAGATCGGCGATTGCATCAAGCTTTGCTTGATACCCTCAAAGGAACGCTGGCATTCAGCGCTCCATGACCACTTGACATTTTTCTTGAGCAGACAAGAAAGATGAACATTCATCTTGGCGTAGTTGCGCGAGTTCTTGTGCAAGTACGCCGCTAGCCCAAGGAACTTCCTTAGTCCCTTGACATCGACTGGCACTGGTAAGTCGGTGATCGCCTTGATCTTTTCGGGATCAGGGCGTACGCCGTGTTTACCCACGATGCACCCAAGAAGTGGTATTTCGCTAGCCGTGAATATACACTTCTTGAGGTTGGCGTACAACTTATAATTGCGCATAAGTTGAAGAACCTGACGAACGTGAGTTCTGTGAGCTTCAACGTCCGTCTTTCCGTCCACAGCCCGGCTATGGACGAACACATCGTCGAAGTAACTCGGTGCGAAGTCTCGCACCGGTCTCAACAGATTTGTGACACATCTGTTGAGTGTTGCAGGGGCACTACTCAGCCCCTGTGGCATCACTAGCCACTCCCACAGCATCCCGCTGGGGGTACTCACTGCTGTGAACGGGATGTCCCGTTCACGCATGAGGATCTGATAGAATCCATCCATCAGATCCATGGACGAATAGATGTTACTCTTTGACATACCATCTATGATGACGTCCTTTCTCGGAATCGGAGTCTGTGCCGGTACCGTTGCAGCATTCAACTTGTTGAATGCGTGCACTATCCGCCACTCTCCTGTGGCCTTTCGCACACAGAAGGTCGGAGAGCTGTGAGGGGATGCTGATTCCCTCACATGCCCCACTGCTAAGCGATCGAAAAAGAACTTGTCGATCGCTAGTAGTTGTTCACGAGGCAGTGGCCACTGCTTCATGACGCAGTACTTCGAGCCCAGTCTGAGATCGATCTCGTGTCGAGTGCCTTTGTCCTTAGGCAACTCGCAAGGTACGGATTCAGGGAACACATCCCTGAATTCGATCAGATCCTTATACAAAGAATTTGCCTGAAGTGACTCCCAGGATTGAGACGTGTATCGCTCAATCCGAGTCTTCTCATCGAGGACACTTTCTTCCATCGATGAGCTGCTGAGAACCCGTTCGTTCTCAGCAAATACTGATGCCGACCGAATATCGGCCACATACTCATCCTCTGTGACGAGTACACAGATATGCTTGACTTTGCCACTACGCAGATCACGCAAGAACCGTTTCGGTTCTAGCGTTGGCATCTGAGTTATCTCCGAAGTTAACTTGGTAGGCACAATCAGATCAAGCGTATAAGCGCCTACGCTTGATCCGTCATTAACCAAGACGTTCAACGTCTCGGTTTCTTCCTGGGAACTTGCTTCCACAGGTCGCTGAGGGACTGATCCCTCAGCAAATGACTCCAGAGGAATTCCTTCCTCAAGTACGTGAGGGCTTATTCCCTCGAAGTCTTCTGACTGTGGCTGTGCAACCACAGTCAGGCACCGATCCTCTACGGTCGACTCTCCAGTCGACCTAGGATATCCATGTTGCCCTTTTAGGCAACGGTTTCTTCTGTCTAAGATGCTGCCCGCTAGGCATGCATCCATGTCCCGGTCCACTCGACTTATTCGAGTAATGAACCTTCGGCGCAGCCTGTACTTCTGTACAGCCGCCGGGAGCTTGCTCCACAGTGTAGTGATCAACTACACTATGATCTTGTGCAGTCGTGCTAACGACCGTACCGCAAGTGAGGCGATCGCACTCACTCGCAGAACATCCACACGCTTGTGGACGCTCCAAGATGTTCATCAGATGGCCATCTGATGAACAAGCGGCAGGCATCTTCACGGATCGATGCTGCCAGCTCATCCTTGGCTCGTACTTTCTGAGCCAAGGTAATCCCAGGATGACATCAAATTTGTCATCCAGATCTAGCACGATGAAGTCATCATCGTACTGTTCGCCCTCTAACGTGTAGTGGATTCCTACTACACGTTTCTCAACGGTTATCGATGCGCCTGTTGCAAGGCGCACCGTCGTCCTCATGAGGGGAATGTCCCGCTCAACGAACTTGAGCCTACGACCTTCTAGTGACTGGCGACGAACAAAGTTGTTCGACGCCCCACAGTCTACTAGGGCACGAAGCGACAAATCATTTGTCGCTTCCAACTTCAAGGTGATGAGCGAAACGTCATCAACAGGTGCAGAGACACACAATGATTGTGTATCTGGAGCAACTTTCGTCAAGAGATTTGCAAATTCTCTTGAGGTTGCTGGATCAGTAGGGCGCTCCGCCCCTACTGACCCCGACCATTTTTTGATGGTCCGTCTCGCTGTTGCGGCTTCGCAACAGCGCTGGACCCACGCCCATTGCCCTTTCTGGCGAATGATCGTCCATTTCGCTCAGTACTGTTTGGTACTGGGCGTGGAGCACTACACTCGTATGCGTAGTGCCCTAACTTCTGACAGCGATTGAACCTCTGCAACCGCTTGTTGTTTGAAGAGCGAGGTCTCTCGCTCTCAACATAGCAGAGGTCCATTGGTTTTGGACCTCCGATCTCTTGTCGTCTTGGTGGACGATAAGAGTTTGAGCTAGCATGAGCCTGTCTCATGCTAAAGTCTTCCTGTTCTGCGGCTGATATCGCTTCTTCAAGCGTATTCAGCTCAAGGCGGAACAGGTGGCTCCTGACGGGCCCTTCTGCGAGCCCTTGCATGAACACCGTAATCAACGTGTGTTCATGGACTGGGTTGGCAGTTATACTACTCGCGAGGAGTCGTATATGTTGTGCGTAAGCGTGCACATCACGCTTTCCTTGCTTGAGTTTCAGGAGCTCTGAACGAGCCCTGAACTCAGCCCGTGGCGGCTCAAGCGTTTGTCTGAGCCGGGACTTGAAGTCATCTAGCGACCTAAACACATTTGGGTCGCTACTCTCGAGCCCCAGGGACCAAGTTTTGGCACGCCCTGCCAAGTGGGTCTGAGCAAATGTGAGTTTCATTTGCTCATCTTCGACGCGACGAGCCCTTAAGGCTCTGTCGAGTTCGACAAACCATAGTAACAGGGAGTCTTCCGGGACTCCACTGTACTTGGAGATGTCAACTTTCATGACCTCGGGAAGACGCGCATGTGCCGTCCCGCCCACAGCAGCATGGAATTGCTGCTGTCTCAACAGCTATGTCTGTTGAGCACCGAGTTCTCTCAACTGCTCGGCCTGTTGAGCATCGAGTTCTCTCAACTGCTCAGCCTGTTGAGAGCCTTGCTGGTGAAGCAAGGCTACTTTCTCCCTTTCGGCAACAAGTTTATGTTGATTGAACTTGGCTATAGCGGCATGTTGTTGGTCTCTGTCTAGAGACTCCAACATGGCGCTAATGGCGAACTCGCCTACGGTAGAACTCATTCGTTCTACCGCACCCCATTCGATGTCACTCAAATGGGTAAACCCTTCACGCGTGGCGTGAAAGGTCTCTTCATCATCCAACATGTTCATGTTGGATGTTAAGGTCCTTGGAAGGACTACAAAGTGCTACCAGGTGTAACGGGGCACACCCTTGCGTGAACTTAACGCAAGGGTATCGGTGCCCCGACGGACGTAAACAAGGCAAGCGAGGAAGCGTAGGTAAGGTAAAAGCAGAACTGTTATATTAATATAAGTAAGTCTTTTAACCACTGTCTCTCTGTTTGACTTAGTTTAACTATACTAATATAACTGGATGTATGGTGACGTCTCGTCACCACTCGTTGCGCGCGTCTTGCGGCGATTGGTGCGTTGGTATCATCAAGATATCAACCAATGAACAGACTCTTTGGTCGACCCATCAATATCACCACTATTGGTGATATTCTTAAAAGAATATTCGACATAATATTCTTTATTGTCATTGTCTTCTAAATGACAATTTCCATGTAACGGGCTGCCCCGTTACAATTGTCGCACCTACAAATGGCGGATCGACTGGCGAATATCTCTATGGACGCTGGGGCTTTTGTCTATGTGCACGCTCCCACAGACCAAGGTGCTGTCAAGGTGGCTACGACATGTATCGACAATGATGTCGACTAATGGATGTTGCCCTCTCAAGCCGAACACCACGTATACTATAGGGCCTCGAGCTGAAATTTGAGGACCTAGTTATCTCGAGACATGACTTTGCGCGATGGCGCTCTGCTGTCCGAGGACTAGTATTACTAAGTAGATGAAGTAGTAGTCGCTTCGGTAACTTTATTGCCAACCGACAGGATATAGCGGGTCGTACGCGTACCCCACCAAGCCCCACCTCCTCACTCACTTCAACAACGTGCACTCTGCACCATGTGTCAATTTGCTCGTTCTAAGGTTTTCTGCGCCTATAGCAACTTTACTTTGTCATCACTGTTCATTTGAAGTCGCCCATGTTTGCTCCCTGCGACGGCATCTGATTGGTCGATAAATTACTTACAGGGCCCTCCTTTCACCACGTTCGGTAGCTGCTCGATGGTCATGACAGAGTACTCGCTCGCAGCGGTTCTAAGCGCTGTACAGGCACTCTACAACATGGTACGTCCTTCGTGTTCTTATCTCCTTCGACGCGATCTATTTTGCCGCCAATAGCACTAGTTTCTCGTCTTCATCTCGTCTGGTCTCGTGGGTTATTGTCGAGCATGTCGACGCCCTGACGATTGGTATGACTTTAACCCTAGGAAGGCGCTGGACGACAGCGAGAAGCCAACGAGTTCCTGAACACATTTGCAGCTTCTGATGCAGCGTGGAGTATAGGATGTCAGCTACTGCTGGACGAGATGCTGGTCCTGCCTTTGGAAGCACTCTTTTTTGCAGCCAACATGCTGCATACAAAGATACGCAAGGAGTGGGTCCAGCTGTCTGTAGAGACCAAAGAGGCAATACATGTGTCGCTGCAAACATTGATGCAAGCGCTACAAGATCGTACGAGATCAGATCTCGTGCACGGACCGCTTGTGAGCAAGTTGTGTGCGAGTTACGCGGTAGTGATGATCTCGTCTCCGGAGGAATGCAAATCTCTGTTTTCGCACTTGTTGACTACCTGCTCGACAACGGGAAACACCGAACAAGTAGTTTTCTTGCTGGTCTTTGCACGCTGCGTGTGCGAGGAAATGGAAAATGCGGAGCTGCCGTTTGCAGCAAAGGATGCAATGGAAATGCATCTGGCATCTCTGAGCGGAGACTTGGTGACGTTGATTGGCAAAATCGTCTGCACGCGCGAAGACCTCGACGTGCATGTGGCTTCGTTGCATGGCGAGGCCTTAACCTGCCTGAATATCTGGACCAGACCGGCAGGGCTATCGCTAGCGTCGTTGTACAGCAAGGACAAAACTATACTGCTGGCGCTGTTAAACGCATTGCAAACCAAATCTCGGCATTTGCGGGCGAGCTCTGAGATACTCACAAAGCTTATCATCGTATCGTCATACCCGACTCCAGCACAATTGGAGCAGACGCTGCTGGTTGTGGCACAAGAATTGCTTAAGACGCGCGCTGCAATCGAAAGCGCGATTGACGCGGAAGAGGAGGATGCTTGCCATGCTCTTGCGGACGTCATCTCAACGTTTTGCGAAACATTTGCGGATTGGATACTAGAGGGCAAGCATCCTCAAGAAGCTATCGCATTGGGCGAGCTCATGTTGTACCTTGGCAGCCATCCTCGTCGACAAATTGCGTCGCTTACTCTGGAGTTTTGGATGATCGTTCAGGATGAGCCTGTGCACTCTCGTTTACACTTTTATCAGCATGATGCTTTCATCCGCCTGTTTGAGGTTGTACTCAAGCAGTGCTCATTCCCACCAGGAAATGTGGAGGATGTGGGCGAATTTGAGATTGATGACCTAAACGCTTTTCGGAGCGACATTCATGGTGCCCCTGACGCTTTCATAGCAATATTTTCGCTGCTAAAGGAGCAATACCTTTCGCGTCTAGTTCACGTTCTTACATCGGCAGCGTCCAGTGAGTGGCAAAGTGTCGAAGTCGCCTTATTTGCTATCTCGTCGGTTGCGGGCGAAGTCAAGAAAAAGCTAACAAAAGCTTACGCCAACACTCCGATGCAGATTGAGCTGGAAAGTATGATATCGCAGATTTTTCGCGTAGTTTTGGACCCGGCAGCTAATACTCATCCCCTCGTGATTGCCACGGCTGCACGGTTGTTGGGGCAGTTTGCGGGCTGGATCAATGACAGAGCTTTAGCAGCCCACACGTTTGAGACGGTCGGAGCAGTTCTACAGTATTTGTCCGACGCGCTTGGACTTCGACCAAGTCGTGCAAATGCTGCTAAAAGCTTTATGCAAGTATCAACAAGTTGCATGGCTTGTCTTGCTGAGATGCCGCCAAGCTTACTTGTGGCTGGTGCGCAGCATTTTGGTGGCACTTTTGGTCGGGAACCCATGCCAATCGAAGAACGGCTACTTGTCGTTGAGGGGCTCGTACGTGCTGCTGCTGTTTCACCAAACTGCTCCGTGATTTTGCAGACTGTACTAGACGACTCGCTTTCTCGTGTAGATCAAGCGCTTGTCGCAAAGGAAACCAACGGCGCGGCTTTGTATATCATAGTGTGCAACGAGCTTCAAGTGCTTGGCAAGCTGATGCGATTTCTTGATGCACCTGAGGATACAGCTGGGGGTAAAGCCGTCACGGCATGGGCTGCTCAGCAAATTTGGCCTCACTTGAACCCGATTGCACTACAGTTTGACGTCGACGAGGCAATAATGGCGGCTCTATTCGAACTGTTTGGATGGTGTCTGCAGAGCTTGCGGCAGCAAATGGCATCACAGCTTGATGGAATTGCTACCCTGATTGTGAGAGTGTTTGAGAAACGGCACTACGCGGCTCCGCTAGAGTGTGCAATAGTCGCTCTTGATGTGTTTGGAAAGGAGGCAAACGCAGAGGTTGCTGGTAGTTTCCGAGGACTTTTGGGCGCATTGAGTCGATCAGCTTTTCAATTTTTCACGACGCATTCGCTGGCTGAAAAGCCGAAGGTGCTGCAGTCGTTTTTTGAGCTAGGCTACCGCTTTCTGCTCTCCTGCCCAGCTGCAGTACTTACTGCAGCCGAGTTTCCCGTGCTGATTGAGCTCGGACTGGCTTGCCTGGGCAACCAGGATCGCGCCTCGACGAATGCGGTTCTCGTGTTTCTCACATTCTTGCTCAACGAGTATACGACAAGACTCGCACCATATACGGCAGTGATCAACGCCTGTGTACTGGATGCCGGCCAACCCGAAAAGTGGCTTGATGGTATCATTGGTGCGCTGGCGTTGAAGAGTCCGAGCACTCTGTACGAGTCGATGGCCAAGCTGCTATACGCACTACTAACTAACTTCACTGGCAACACACACGTGCGGGAAGCACTGGTACGGTCTTTGACTCGCGACGCACTGGGTGTGGGAGGCCTGGGACCGGAAGACCGGCAGCAGGTGCTACACTTGTGGCTATCCCTCACTGCCCAGCCTTCACACTATTCTGAGCGGCGCTTTCGCGGTTTATGCTCCGACTTTGCTAAGGTTTGTCGCAAGGAGTTAACGGCAGACGCGCTTCACTCGATCGAGATGCCCAACTGAGACAGACTTTTTGGGTCGTCATCGGCGCATTACAAGAGAATCGTTACAACGCAACGTGTATTGACTCTGCTGTAGACGCGGACGCCTTGGCCGGGTACCATCACAGTTGCTAGCGTGCAGTGCAGCGCCTCGCGGAAGCGCGTTCGCTATCAGGCCAGTTCTCCAACCTAAACAGACAGCGCCAAGTCTGTTTAAACCGCAACGAGGACATACAACACCATCACTAGCCAATGACCGGGACACGTACGATGGGATACTTTTTGTAGTAGAACGCCTTCGTCACAGCAAGTTCCTGTTTCTGATTCTCGTTAAAGTCCGAGACGTCGTCGTTTAGGTCCTATACAGTCGCAAGAACACTCACAGACGCGTGGTCAGTCGATCCAAGCTCGACACTGTCTGTTTGCCCGCAAAGAGCACTCTCCTTACGTCCGGCTTCAGTGACCCTAGTGCTAGAGCACGCGTACAAGCCTGCAAGGCAGACAGACAGATAGGCAACAGATCATAAACAAACACACAAGAAGCTGCATGAGATCGAGGTCGTGCGCAATGCCGATGCACTGCATTGGCATTGCCTATCCCGTCTCAGCTGTACCTTTCCAGCAAAAATGTTGTACGACTGTCCCTTGGCATAGAAATTTGCTCCGGACGTCACGTCAACAACCTGTGGCAGCAGCAAACAACGATAATATATCAACGGGCTGCTTCTTATCCCGTCTCGCTCGCCACGGCGTACCTTGCCACCAACTGCAAGCAGCAGAGGCTTGTCGCTGTCCGATCCGTCGTACCTGCACATTGCATCCGCAGCAGCAGCATTAGCAAAAGTAACCGCAGTAGCAGTGTCAGCGTCTAGGTAGTTTAGTATACATGCACACGCATCCGATCCGCATCAGAGTACGTTCGCATATGTATACAATGTATGCCACCAGCATCCAGGTACGTTCGTGTTCATGCAGGTGGTATACTACAAGCAAGTTGTATGTACTTACAGACGAAGCTGGTCCAACGTATACGTCGGTAGCCCCTCCGCGTGTGCGACCGCCTCGTTCTCCGCGCTCTTGTCGCGTAGCAGCGCCGAAAAAGGATACGGACATTTGTATCCACTAGTGACGAGGTATTGCTCGATCTGCGGCCAAAGCAGCGCCAGGAGCGCCACCACTAGCGCTGCGCCAAACACAAAGACGCGCTTCGAACGTGCCATGTCAAGAGTCGGCGACCACTGGAGCTCGTTTGTCGTGGCACTTGGTGTGGTGCACACCCGCATCTACACAGCCACCTGCACCTTTTCGGACACCCGTGTGTGTAGCCATCTACCTTAGCGCTGCTTCAAACTCATCGAAAAGCCACAATGGACAACAACAACAACAACAACAACAACGAGGGGAAGCACAAGTGTGGACGTCGACCAGCGCCTGAGCAGCTCCGACAGGACTTGCGGCGTGCGGATCAACCAGTGTGAATGGCTGCTGGTGGAGATGAGGCAGTCGCGGGTCTGTATTGAACTTTGCACACGCGTTGTACGACCCGTTTGCTGCTTTTCCACTCGATCTCATGTGTCGGTTAGGCAAACGCGAGTCTCAAGACGTTGTGTCGTGTAGCTGCCGTTCAACAGGTCATGGTATTGTCAATGAAACAGGATGTACAGGTAATGTACCATTATGATGCGGCGTGCTGCCGAGTCTTCGGCGGGACTCTCTGGCTCGTGGATGGTACGGGATCTGCGCTAATGCGCTTCGACGGGATCCTCTTCTGCTACAACAAGAGCCAACGCGTGCTTACCAAGACGCAGATACTGGTTGAAGAGGCGCATGGACTAGAGGAGGTACGACTCATTAGTATCTGCTATACATGTGAGGCCTTACGTGCTTTCGAGGCGAGGATGCAAGCACCCAGCACGTGTGCAGACCTCTGCTTGCGAGGCGGACTTTCACGACGAGATGCAGACGCGTTGAATGAGCACAACTCTATCGTCGATCAGGCGAGGTAGGCTCGTGCTAGCTCGCTATGGTTTTCGCATGCAAGAAGAGGAGAACGTTTCGAAGCGAGCAAAGTAGCAAGACACTAGTAGAGCTGACGTTTGCTGTGGGTGTAGTGGGCGTGGACATGGCAGCTTCTTGACGACCTCGTTGTGCAGTGCGCGACTGCAGCGACTACCACTCGCTGCACACTGACCCGGCGGTAGCCGTCCTGCATGATTATTGCTCTACGGGTGCGGCCAGCCGTGCACTGTTCAAGCAATTCCCGCCTCGATGACGCCGCGCGTTGCAAGTCCATGCGTTGCACTTTGCAACTCAGGGTGACAGCGGCTCGTTCGTCTTTGATCCGCATGCTCGTCGCGTTTACACGTCGTTGCAGAACGCCTACACACGACATGAAGGGTATTGTGACATGTGTCGATGTGCATACGCTGCGCATTGACTGACACGGCCAAGAGCTCGTCAAACGACTAACTAACCGACTAACTAACTGACTGACTGACTGGCTATAGATCACGAGCGACTCGGACTTCTATCCGACAAGCGCATAAAACGTACTGCCGCCAGCCTGTCCGTCGACAGTCATGAGCTCCTCGCGGACGCCAACGCCGCAGCTGTCTGTCCGGACAAAGTCTCTAGTCGCTGGCTCAGTGTCGGGCATGGCGAGCGTCGTGGTCTGCCATCCACTGGACACCATTCGTACGCGACTGCAGCTGTCCTCCCGTCGCTTCCACGGCTTTTACCACTGCGTGAAGCAAACGGTGCAGCAAGAATCCATGCGCGGTCTCTACAAGGGCTTCCTGCCTCCGTTCTGGAGCCAGGGCATCTACAAAGCGGTCATCTTCACGACGTCTTCTACGCTGCGCCAGGACGTGCTGCCTCAGGTGGCCATCCTGCAGCCAGTGCTCACGCCGACACTCACGTCGTTGGTCGCAGGTGCCGTGGCTGGAGGTGTCAATGCTTTTCTCGTGACGCCCGTGGAGCTCGTGCGCAATCGACTGCAAGTGCAGTACGACACCCAAGTCGAGTCGCGAAGGTACAGGGGCACGGGTCACTGCATCAGGCAAGTCGTGCGGAGTGAGGGGCTCACGGCTTTGTGGAAAGGGCTGTCGACAACGGTCGTTCGCGACTCGCTAGGCGTGGCGTGCTACTTTCTCGGCTACGACCTTGTCAAGCACCGCATGAGTGCAAATGGTACAGCTGGAGAGACAGCTACGCTCTTGACTGCTGGGGCTTTCGGTGGCATCAGCTTCTGGGCAGTGGCATTGCCGTTCGACACGATCAAGTCCCTCATTCAGGCGGACGGAAGAGCGGGCAAGTATACTGGCCTAATGTCCAGTGCAGCACGCTTGGTGCGCGAAGAAGGCGTGATGCAGCTCTTTCGGGGATGGCAGGCTGCCTTTTTGCGTGGAATTCCGAGCGCTGCAATGACTTTCTGGACGTTTGATCGAGCGAACAGAATCCTCGATGACATGTAAGCAAAGAAGACACACGAGCGGATCCCTTTAACAACAGCGCGTGGGCACATTCGGCAGACTTTGGGTCGCCAGAAGGAACTCTGAACGCTGCTGGTGATCGGTGGGGAAAGCACACGACAATTGGACTCGACATTGCGATCGGTTGATGTCGATACTGATCGGCACCGAGTGAGCTGACATCCAGCAAAGTGGTTGTCATTGTCGGCAGATCAAGTGCAAGCGAGCAGATGGAGCTGAGGAATCGACAGCAGCACATGGAAATTCCATGAGGAGTGCGAAGACCTTTTTGGACGCTGGGCCACACCGTATTACGAGAGATCGATTGGTCTCCAGGACCTGTGCACGTCAATGCACGTGATTTGTGTGCTGCATGGCACGTAATGTACCCACCTGCAAAGCTGGCAAATAGGACGATTGCGTGAACCGCTACCGAAACAGCGATGCCGCTGTCCGGCGACGGATTGCCCATGTTGTGTCGTTGTGTGGACCCTCCGTCTCCCACACCATTTCGATCGACCACACACATTGAGAAACACGCACACAGTCGAGGGCAATGACGGGACCTGGCGATCTGTTTAAAACAACATGTCATCAGACGCTTCGTCGACGCAGACGGTCCTGCGCAGTGACTCGAGTCTGTCGACGAACGCGATTGGCACATCATTGCCGCACATGTCGCACACGTGGCGCCAGTCACGCGCGGGCTATAAGCCCCTCGTAACGTGCATGTTCCGATCCCGACTTCCATAGAAAGTTCGTCGCCGCCTCAAGTTGCAACCAATCGCGATCCACCTCGCCAAGCCCACAACCGCAGCTTCTAGCCCTACCCGCGCTCCTAACGTCCTGTAGTATCCGACAGCATACCACCCGTCACCACCGCGTCCCGTCTGACGCAGTATCCTGTCTCCCACCCACCCCGCGCGCCCGTCACCACCGCGTCCCGTCTGACGCAGTATCCTGTCTCCCACCCACCCACCCACCCCGCGCGCCCGTCCACGACCAGGGCGCAGGCTTCAACAACACTCGTCCGTCATTGCGTCCAGAAAAGAGACGACCCCTCCACCCCCTCCACCCGTCCACTCCCCACCAGTCAGTCCGTCCGTCCGTCCGTCACTCAGTCATTCGTCACTCCCTTTGGTCGACACGCAGTGTAGCCATGTCGTCGCCCACGTCGTGCTCTATCGCGCCACCGCAGCCGCAGCCACAGACGTCGGCGCCCCGCTCGCCGCCGCTCAAGATCCTCAACTCTGTCCTCGAGCACGTGGGCAACACACCGCTCGTGCGGCTCAATGCCATTGCCCAGAAGGCCGGTCTCGCGTGTGAGCTGCTGGCCAAGTGCGAGTTCTTCAACGCCGGCGGCTCCGTCAAGGACCGCGTGGGCAAGCGCATGATCGAAGACGCCATGGCGAGCGGCCGCATCCAGCCCGGGGACACGCTGATCGAGCCCACGTCGGGCAACACGGGCATTGGCCTCGCGCTGGCCGCAGCGCTCTACGGCTTTCGCCTCATTATCACTTTGCCCGAGAAGATGTCGCTCGAGAAGGTGGACGTGCTCAAGGCATTGGGCGCAGAGATCATCCGCACGCCCACAGAGGCGCCGTGGGACTCGCCCGAGTCGCACATTGGCGTGGCCAAGCGCCTGGTCAAAGAGATCCCGAATGCCCACATCCTCGACCAGTACAGCAACCCGTCGAACCCGCAGGCGCACTACGACGGCACGGCCGAAGAGATCTTGCAGGCCTGTGACGGCCGCGTGGACATGGTCGTCATGGGCGTCGGCACGGGCGGCACGCTCTCGGGCGTTGCGCGGAAGCTCAAGGAGCGGTGTCCGCACTGCATTGTGGTTGGGGCCGACCCCATGGGCTCGATCTTGGCCCAGCCCGAGAGCCTCAACGACGCGCACCGCCTGCAGTCGTACCAAGTGGAAGGCATTGGCTACGACTTCATCCCGCAAGTGCTGGACCGGTCGCTCGTCGATCGCTGGATCAAGACGGGCGACCAGGAGTCGTTCTTGCTCGCGCGTCGACTGATCCGCGAGGAAGGACTGCTCTGCGGCGGGTCGTGCGGCGCAGCGGTGGCAGCGGCGTTGAAAGCGGCGAAGGACCTCCGCGCCGGTCAGCGCTGCGTCGTTGTGCTGCCCGACTCGACGCGGAACTACATGTCCAAGTTTCTCTCGGACGACTGGATGTACGAGCACAAGTACGTGACGGACCTGTCCAAGAGCGCGCTCAGCGCCACGTGGTGGGCCCAGAAGAACGTGTCGGAGCTGCTGCTGCAAGCGCCCGTGACCATCACGCCCGACCTCACGTGCAAAGAGGCCGTGGACATTCTCAAGAAAGAGGGCTTTGACAACCTCCCGGTCGTGGCCAACGACAACTCGATCGTCGGCGTCGTGACCGAAGGGAACCTCATTGCGCAGCTCATGCCCGGCCGCGTGCGGCCCACGGACGCAGTCGAGAAGGCCATGTTCACGCAGTTTAAGCAGATCAGTCCGCAGACGTCGCTGTACGAGCTGAGTCGCATCTTTGACCGCGACCACTTTGCGCTCGTCGTGACGGAACAGAAGCGGATCTGCCGCGGCGGCAGTGTCGAGGTCAAGTCGGTCATCTTTGGGGTCGTCACGCGCATCGATTTGCTCACGTACATTACGCGCCACAACGAGCAGTAGCATCGATCGGCAGCGATGGGTTGCGGTCGAGAGTACATTGGGCGACACCTACGCACGAGGAGACCGGAGCCGTTTCTTGCTACGACTCGCACTACACGCATGACAACATGAGTCATAGGACGACTGAATCAGGTTAGTACGAGAGCGAATGCGAGTGAGTCAGGATAAGGCGCTATTTGGAGAGGTATTAGGAGAGTTGGTCGAACTTGCAGCGATCGAGACGTGAGAGCGTTTCGTGTGGTATGTCGTCGTGAGGACTTGAGATTGTGCTGAGAGGAGACGACTGTTGCTCAAAATCGAGGCTGAAATAGTTTTTGTGAGAGGATGGGCTCCGTTAAGCTGTCACGACGGATAGCAGCAGCATTGGTCGTGTGATATAAGCTTGATTGATCATAATTAGTTCTGGAGGGCTCTTGGATAGATAGCCAAGTAGCTCCAGGACATGCGCTTCTTTAGATGCGAATACCTTTTTGTGGCAATGCTAAGCAAACGATGTTTAAACAGAATAAGTATCAGCATAAAGGTATAAACCTTTTTGTCAATCTTTCGATCGGATATGGGTCATGTTGCTGAGACCCTTTCGAGTCGATACCCTGAAGATTCCAACCCTTTTTTTATTCCGACAAATAAAGAATGTCTTTTTAATACGAACGGTTTACAATTAGGGGAGCGCTTAAATAGACGCTACATGCCTATTCACTGTAAGTTGGCTTTGGCCTGTGTTGACACTCACAACAGGTTGTGCGCCAACAACAAGTGCGGCAGGCTCCATACTCGCTGAACGGGGCTACAGGAAGAGACGGGATACTGTACAAGACACAGCTTTTCCTGTAGTACCTATTGGCGGCTGGGATAACGAGGTGCGACTATAGGGTACGTCAAACGGTTTGATGCCCTATTTCTTACGAACAAGACCAGCTATCAGACATGTACGTGTGGGGCAATGAATTCGATAGGTCAATCACAGCATGCGTTAATACCGTAGCGTCTGTGAATTGAAACTTAGCGAGGAAGAGCAACGAAGCGGCCGTGCCGTAAGTGAATCAAGCGATAGTCCAAGTGTTGGCAGGTGCTGTTTGACGTTATTGTTTCTGTTCTGGTCGCTATATCAGTCCACTGGTATTGTTGCTATCAGTTTTCGATCTCGTGTGCAGTCTGGCGTTGTTCTTGCCGAGTTTGTTGTTGCTGTTGACGCAAAGGCTGTAAATCTGTTGATGCTGATGCTGTGTTGATGCTGATGTTGTGTTGATGCTGATGTTGTGTTGATGCTGATGTTGTGTTGATACTAATGCTGTTGATGCTGATGTTGGTGTTGATGTTGATATTAGTTGTGTTGACGCTGATGACGCTGTCGACACTAACGCCTTTTGTAACTCCCGCTCTTGTGCGATTGGTGACTATACATGAAAAGATAGAAGGACGCTAGTTAAAAAAGACAATGTCTCTCATTGATATTTTTTCCATCATCTTTTGTTTATAGAAGCATACCAACTAGATAGAACGCTGACGTTGCTATTTGATGCACTTAACATAGACAGCAGCCTGATCATGCTTACCAGGTCGATAAGTTGTAATGGAAGGTACTTTCGGTGTCTTCTACTGTGTGCAATGTGTCTTGTGATTTAACGGAGATGGGGTCCGACATAGCTCTAGCTGCAAGCAACGCCTTGTACGCCACAATTTTCTGTGGAAAGCTTTTTCATTGAGGTTGCTGCACGTGCTTAACGTTGTTGGCGCTCACGGACAGATCTTGCTTGCGGACAAGCGACATCTCAGACGCCCGACCGAAGGCTTGGCACATTAGGCACACAAGTGCAGCGTCCTGGTAGTCCGTCGAACTCGTGGCATCGAGTAAAGGTGTTCCATAAGTAACGAAAGATCACCTGTCGTACACGATGCAACTTTCTCGATGGGCCCTCCGTTCACTCGTTTCAAGCAGTGCCTTTCCAGAGTGCGCGCCATCTCAAATAGCTTGTCTTCCACAACTGGTCTTTGTGTCGCGAAAAACTCGAGCAGTCACTTCTTGACTTGTCTGTAATAGGATACCACAGAGTTCTTTGCCAAAAAATTCCATTGTTGCCCTTGATTTAGGCGAGGTGCATGGCGAACTTCTCCATAACTGCGACGAAGCAGGCACCAGACGGGTCACTGAGGATGGACGCGTTGAGCTGTTCGACTGTGACGGACTCCGACGCGAGTAATTTCTTAAAGTTGTTCACTGCCGTAGACATGGCCGACTTGGTGTTGACTGGCACCAACGACTGAATGCTGATGTTCCTGTGCTGTCTAGTTATTGAAGTGTATAGCGTATGAATTGTCTAAGGTCAGTCCAATGCGGCTGATGACTTAGCCTTTGTATGCTGCGCAGACATACTTCAACATAAACATCAGTGATCATGTTGTGGTGGAGATTACTTTGCAGCAGCGTATGGCTACAATATTATAAAATGGAGCTAAACAGGTAATTAATTACTAAGCTGCCATATTTGTCGGAATTTTTTGCAATATGCAACATAGTATGCGTTTAACTAGCCATTTGTATGGAGCTCATACACATTTTTGGCTTCATCTCGACAAAAATATGTCGGAATGATGTCGGAATGAATTTGCCCTGCCCCTAATCGTCCGATTCGCTGAAACTGCTATTGGAAGGACCATGGATTGGCTATAATCAAATGGCAATCTCCTATTGGTCCACCATCGCATACTGAGAGCAAATGAATTTTCGTTTGTCGGACTTGTGATCCTATTCATCGATTCCGGTGCTGGTCATGTCGAATCAGATGGCACTGAGCTTTTCGTCCAACTCTTCAACTCACATATCTCGTCAGCTGTACGGCCAGCACACTGACGTCACCGCAGCGTCGTACGGTTACATCGAGCCGATAACACAGTTAAAGCAATCGTCAGCTCGTTCAATGAAAAAGCCACAGCGATCACCGCAACGTCAATAAGCTACAAAAACCATCGGCAATGATAGAGCTCATCTCGTATCTGCAGAGCACCACAAGAAGCAGCTAACAGTATCCAGAAAACGATACCAACTGCTCACCAACTCAACGGAAGGCATCGCGCCATAAAGTGCGTCCAGCAGTCAATAGCGTCGTCCATCCTGTTGACGTGCAAAACTGCAAACGACCAGCTGTCCTCAGACCGACCGATAGCAGCCACCCACAGGGGTACAGCCATCAACGGCACTCCTCTTCACGTCGTCTTTATCCCCACTCGAGTCGTTCGAGCCATTTTTAGCGTCAACAGCGCGAGTGAGAAACCAGCATCCCAACTCGTGCCGCATGTTGAAGTTGCCCTGTGAAACTTGATCTTCTGTACCCATTTGCGCCCAAAAGCTCCAAACGCCGAAAAAACGACTGGTCAGCATTCGTTTGCCGCCAGCGCTCGAAGATCGCTCCGCCTGCTGCCGCGTCCCGTTCCTCGTCGATCCCCTTACTACGGCAATGGCTCTGCACGCCGCACAGACCGACGACACGCTCACGCACGCGATCGTGGGCCTGGGCAACCCGCTGCTCGACATCCTCGCGGACGTGACGCCGGCGTTCCTCGCCAAGTACCACCTCGAGCTGAACAATGCCATCCTCGCGGACGCGAGCCACGCGCCCATGTTCGACGAGCTCCAGCGCGCGTTCGAGCCCGTGTTTGTCGCCGGCGGCGCCACGCAGAACAGCGTCCGCATTGCGCAGTGGATGCTCAACGCCTACAACAAACACGCGACGTCGTTCTTCGGGAGCGTCGGCCGCGACTCGCACGGCGCGACGCTCGAGGCGTGTGCTGAAGCCGACGGCGTCAACGTCTCGTACTTGAAACACGACGGGATCAAGACGGGGACCTGTGCCGTGTGCGTGGCCAACTCGGAGCGATCGCTCGTAGCGGATCTATCGGCGGCCAACCACTTTCACGAAGACCACTTGGCCACGGCCGCGAGCCAGGCGATCATTGCCAAGGGCCAGTACTTCTACACGGCGGGGTTCCACCTCACCGTGTCCCCGCCGTCGGTCATGGCGCTTGCCGAGCATGCCAAAGCGCACAACAAAGTGCTGCTCGTGAACCTGTCGGCCCCGTTCGTGGTCGAGTTTTTCCACGAGCCACTGATGGCGGCGCTCGCGTTCGCCGACTACGTCTTTGGCAACGAGAGCGAAGCCAAAACGCTCGGCAAAGTGCAGCACTGGGGCGACGACGTGGCAACGATTGCGCTCAAGACGGCGCAGCTGCAGAAGGCCAGTGGCTCGCGCTGTCGCACTGTTGTGTTCACACAAGGCGCTGATGCGACCATTGTCGTGCACGAAGGCAAAGTGCACAGGTTTGAAGTCCCGAGCATTGCGGCCTCGTCGATCGTTGACACGAACGGCGCGGGCGATGCCTTTGTCGGTGGCTTTCTCTCGCGCTTGGCGTTGAAGCAGCCGCTCGACAAGTGCGTGCAGGCGGGTCACTGGGCAGCTCAAGTCGTGCTGACCCGCTCGGGCTGCACGTTCCCAGAGACGTGTGACTATCGAGAGTAAGGAGCGAGTGGGGTATCGAGCATTGATGCAAAGGGTCAGCCTTCAGGTGGCTACTTGGTGAGGAGACTGCAGTGGCAGCAGTAGCTGTTGCTACACGACAGACAGGTTGAAAGCAGTGTCGATTGGTGACGGCGCTGTCGGAAGACGGCAGACGGTGAGTTCACGTGTAGGCAAAGTGCAGTATACGAATAGCAGTGCGAGGGCAGCGCTCGACACTTTCTGTCAAAGTGAGAAGAACCGCTTTTACAATAGACGACTGCATTGGCGGCGCGCTGCAATGCTTGACGTTATTTTGATCGATTGTGTCGCTGAGAGTGGGGAACTGCTGATCTTGATTGTGTATCGATGGACGGCCTCTGAAGTACAGACGGACAGGTGGTTGCTAGTGAATGCTCAGGAGACTATTGTTACTGCACTTGCGCGCACACGATTCGATGGCAACATTTGCTGTACGTACATACGTACACGCATGGGATCGTATCCAGTCGACTAAGGTATACTAACTCAAGAAGACCTCTTGCCGCATGAACTTGGGATCGAATTGAGCTCGAGATCAACGATAGCTACTACAGTAGTCGAGACGATGGCAGCATCGATATCCATACCTCTGGTGGATATACAGGTCGATAAGGCTACCTGAACTCTCACGCACACGTAAACTACAGATCATCGCTAGCTGGAATGAATGCATCCTCCACGTCGTGCTCTCGGAACAGTTTTTTGAGATGGACGATGCATACAGATACCACTTGACATCTTCAAAACTGGTTCGATTCTATGACAGCTTTCCAACGTCTACTGCTGCGCCTTCCTCTGCCTCTTCTTCTTGTTATTGCGTTTCTGCGTGTCTGCAGCCTTTGTACGCTTTTTCGAGGCACTGACTTCTCCATCAATCTCAACGACAACGTGAGGGACTCCAGCAGCTGGACCAGAAGGCTCTTTGTCGATTGTAGTCTTCGTCTTCTTGGTCTTCTTGGTCTTCTTGATCGGCTTGAGCGTAGCGTCACTTGCTGCGGCTTCATCGCTAGACTTCTCGCTCGCGACGACAGCAGACAGACACGTCACACGAGGCTTCGTAAGGAGAGTAGTCGAAGCCAGGGGCTCGACTGACTTGTTCGATTCTTCCGGCGACGAATCGTCCAACACGAACGAAGCAAAATCCCAAATCTGAAACGTGCCTTCCGACGTGGCCAGCACTATCCATGGCAACTCGTGCTCGCCGTGAGGATATACCACTTGAAGACACCGAATGCGGGCGTCGATGTCCTTGTGCGTTACCTTTCCAACAAGTCTGCAGACACAGCACATTGGTGTGAGTGAGGGCGCAACAAAAGTGTGCATCTATCCAACCGGACACCCCGTTCGAAGCGACGCGACCGTGACAGCCACTTCATTCACTTACGTTCCGTTCGTCTTCCAGATATAAATGTGCTTGTCGTCGCCTCCACAGACGACGTACTGATCCATTGCAAAGACAGCGCAGCAAATCTTTTTCGTGTGCTCAAGCGTGCCCACCAGCTACAATCAGCAGCAAAGAAAAGAAACACGTGTTGCGTGACAACACCATCCAGCCTGCTCACTTACTCACACACTTGTGTCCTCTCACCTCTGCGTTCATGTTGAAAACAGACAAATGCGTGCCAAATCCGAGTGCATAGTGCGTGCCTTTCTTCGAGATCATAACAAGTTCTGCCTCCTTTTCCAGTCGTCGAATAAACGCAATCCGACCCTTCACGAGGTTCCACATGCGCAGCGTGCGATCGCGTGCGACGGAGAAGCACATCTTTCCGCTTGGATGCACTGCAATCGCATTGATCTCGCCTCTACAATAAATGGACAGTAAGAACAACATCAAGCGACACATGTGCACAGCACAGCACTCCCAATCAGCAAGCACGTACTTGTGACCACCGAGAATGTGCACACAGTTCCAGTCGGACGTCCGCCAGATACAGATCGAGTGGTCAGCACTGCCGCTAAGTACGTGGCTCTGGCCAAAGAACTCGAGGCTCGTAATAGCGCCGTGCTGCTCCATCAAGCTGCCAACTTCCACGCGCTTGTCCACATTATAGATCCTAACACACACACACACGCCAGTAGTACCCATACCATCGTCAAAAAAGTGCGTTAAGACGCTGCATCATTGTCTCCAGACCGTCCTCTGTTAAGTACGCACTTGATCATCTCGTCGCTGCTACCTGAGACCAGCGTCTTGCCCTGCTTTGCGCCCATCAACGCCACACTCTTGATGCACTCCGAGTGCGCCGCGTACCCGAACGTGAGCCTCATCTTCGTGCATTCGCCCGTGGCCACCGTGGGGCACTGCCATCCGTACAGCAATCCCTCGTACGTTCCCGCGACGATGCGAATCATATCGTCAAGAGCTCTTGAGACGGCTGGTGGGGAACGGACAGCGCAGCTAAGTACGGTATCAGCGACATGTAGCCATGATGTCCAACAAAGCGCTTTTTTTCTCAATGCAACGGAATAAAGTCGTGGGTTGTAAGTAGTCAGCGGCGACCGAGCGGGCGGAGAGACCATATGAGTTAACATATGTTTTCGAAGCGTCGATTCGCGTCGATGGGTACAGCGCGGTGCCTGCGAAAACAAGTATGGTAAACGGCATTTATCGGTTGGCAAAGCAGGATAGCAACATGAGCAGGTTAGTCTTAATGGGGGCCACGCACGGATGCAGTGCCCAATTTGACCCGCAGGAATTGACAGCGCTTGTGCCGCTTTCTCCTGCGTCCACAGCGCTCGTGCAGAATTTGTAGAGGTACGTGGTTTTATGTTCGAGTCATTGCTGTCACAAGCGTCGCGCTTCGAATGAGCTGGTGGACCCCTTCGTTGGTATGTGAGAAGATCGTTTGGAATGACACGAAAACCATACAGACGATCTGGCAATATGGATCCTCTTGGGTTAGTAGTCACAGGTCACAACGTCAAAAGTCCAGGCAAGATGCGATACTGTCGTAGCAATCAACGGGTTTGCTCTCTTCTGACGGCTGTGCATACGATAGACAAAACACTGGGGGAGACGTATGACGATGAAAGACCTGTGTGAGGATCGAGCTTCGAGACGAGCGCAGCGATACCCATGAGATGAAAGCATGACGTAGAGTGGTCAACGACACGCGTTGTGATGAGGTTCTAGACGAGGAGTGACTTAGGTATGTGGATCCGTGTTGGACGGCATCAAGATGTGCTGCTGACGGTGATGTAGACGTCGAACAGGATCCTGACGACCGACCGAGGCTGGCTGGGAACAGCACGAGCACCTGAGGCGCAGGAGTGTGTCATGCATGGGTAACAGGGTACAAGTGTCCATGAACTATGCAGATGCATACATCCTGGTAACCACTTCCGGCTGACGCTGCCGGCCGGCTAGGCTGGTGGGATCCAGGAGCTGTGACGACGATGGACGCGGACCAGATCGTCTATCTAGATGGAATAGGTCTGATGTATTCGAAGATGGGATACAATTGATAGCGCGTGCCAGGTCGGCAGCACGTTTGACCGTGGAATCAATTCGACTGCCATTGACCAGCGAACGTGACCGCTTGCAGCAGCGGATCGGTCACTGGATTTCAGTTCCCGCAGAAGCAGTAGCAAAAGCGAGCGAGATTGAGGATATGCGAACGATCTGCGAACGATCTGCCTCGATAGGTTGATCCAACAGCTCAAAAGTTGTCGGAGTGGCCGTGCTGGACTGACCGCCTGCACGGCAGTGGTACCAGTCTGAAGACGATGTTTGTCGGCAACGGCTGTGGCGAATCCACACGCTATCATGATATTGCGGTACATACGTATCGGCGTTTCTCGAAACGAGAACGTTTGCTGAGCTCATGGAATCTCGCGGATCTGCCGCTCAAATCGGTGCAATCGGCTGTGGAAGGAGAGCGAACGAGAATCGCACGAGCTGCGTGCATACATCCACACGTCCGTAATCATCCATTTGCCTGTAGAGTTAGCACGGCAATGAACAATCCAGCTAAAGAGACGCACGTTGGATAGGCGGCATCGAAGACGTGCCAGATTGATGCGACTCGAAATGCACCCAACACTAGCGAGCGACGAAGCTCTGTTGCGTTCGACCAATCTGCTCTACGTACCCGATCCGAAGCTCTCTCCCTCTCCTGCATGACCTACTCGCGAAACTCGTCGCGCGACAAAGTCATTCGATCTCGTAGTATCCGTTACAGACCCAAAGTCAGGTTACACGAAGTCCCACAATGTTCACCTTTGTCACAGCAGAGCCGCTCTGCTTGACGGACGACGTTTCATCTTCGAGCGCATTGCTATTTCACACGCGCTGTTCGGATGGGCAAAGGATCAAAGTGTCAACTGAACAACACCATCGAGCAGCGACATGACGTACTCACTACCAAAACGTGGAAACCACACGCTCTCGCACCTCCTTGCAAGCGCCGTCCGTCGTCGCTCGCTGAATACCTCCGTCAGCAGACAGAAATAGATGACGCGACTCATTTGCTTTGAGCTTGTGGAGAGCACACACCGCTCACTTGACATTCCCCTAAGAGCGCAATTGAATGGCACCATAGTCCACAGCAGATAGGCCAACACTACAGATCGTCCTACCGGCTCACGAACGACAGGCCAATGAGGTCGGCCTCATGCGGGAAGATGTCCATACTCCTGAGCCTGTGCTCGTCACGGTCCTTCGTAAGCCCTTTCATCGCCGACAAAAGCAAACCCGATGAGTTCAGGCACGTTATGCTCTGGCACCACATGATACCACTTGACAACATCTGCAGCAATTACACGCGTTCTTGCCGGTCAAAAGGCTCTTTGGTCAGTCAATATGTCGTTTTTTATGATCGCAGTATGTAATCGTCTCCTGCAGCAGGCGAGCCACGAGCGATTTCACGCTCAGGAGGACAATCCGAGTCCATGGTGGTGGCTATCCTCGAACTTGGGTGTCTTTGGTGGCCCCCGTCATTGCCGAAGGCGCGTCTTTGTCGCTAAATCGTCCAAAGTTCGTCGCTCCAGAGCAACTCGATGCAATAGGAGATGCGGCACGCTGTATGGCCCAAGTGTGCAGTAGTAGTAGTAGTACTAGTAGTAGCAGCAGTAGTAGTAGCAGTAGTAGTAGTAGTAGTAGTAGCAGTAGTAGTAGTAGTAGTAGCAGTAGCAGTAGTAGTAGTAGTAGTTGTTGTTGTTGTTGTTGTTGTTGTTGTTGTCGTCTTTGTGCTTAACTCTTCGAGCCATACATGGGCGTGTCTGTCCGTGACTGGCTATATGGCGCGAACAGAGCACTTGGCTCGAGTCAGTAAAGTACAGAGGCGCGAGGGAGAAACAAAAGAGAGGCGGATCGGCGAGGGATTCTTTTCGACGACCTCACTGTGAATAAAACAGACGTGTTTCATACACCAGCCACGCCGTGCGTGCATCGAGGCATCGACGAGAATCCGCCGTATTGTACGTGCTGCCGTGCGCAACGAGAGTGATGGTCGGTCTCGATCGGTCGGGGTCCCCTAATCCGCGCGACTTTGGACCTGTCAAAGCTAATACCATGTCGCCCATTGTACGTCGAGTCGGCGGACTCGAAACGGCAGAACTAATACTAAGACGCGACACATTGTGATTCTTGTCACACGCGCGCGGTCGACGACGCGAGACGCTCCTGGCGCTGCCCCTCCTCGACGTGCGACTGCTGCAACTGCGTCTACTGCTGCGACTGCTGCTCACCATGCGCAGGAACGGGTGGCAGCTGCCGTTCCACGTGCTCCAGATCGCCACGTGGGTCGTCTTCCCGGGCATCATCGCGCTCTTCTTCATCTTCTATACGCCCATTCTGGACAAGTCCGTGTCGATCGTCGTGAGCGCTTTGTACGCGTCCGCGTGTATCTTTACGGTTGCGGCCGTGGCGGTCTGCACGGGCACTGACCCGTCGGACGACTACATTCTGAGACCGTCGGTAGGATCAGGCGGTGATTTAGATTGTGTCTGTGTGTGTGTGTGTGTTGTTTGTATAGTATTAGATGTCCTTTTCGGTAACGGTGTGATTGGTTTATTTGATGTGCCGACGTGTTCCCTTGTTGTGCGTGTGTGTGATTGGCGCTGTTAATTGGACGATTGCGTCCGTGCTCAGACGGCTGGTGATGCCGCCGAGTCGGACACGGAAGAACGAGTGTACTGCCACGTCTGCATGCAATACGTGTACGTGTTCTGTCTTGCGCTTGCTCTGGGTGTCTTGAGCGGTGGATGCGCTGGGTCGATCAAGTGCTAATGGGATCTATTTGTTTGTATGTTGCGACTACAGTAACGATCAAAGTCGACACTGTCGGCTCTGTGACAAGTGCGTCGACGTGTTTGACCACCATTGCAAGTGGCTCAACAATTGCGTCGGCAGGAAGAATTATCGCTACTTTCTGGCCTCGGTCTTTGGCACTGCGTCGTTCCTAGCAGTACAGCTCGCGGTGGGCGCGTTTATTACCGTGGATATGTACACGAACGAGATTATTATGCAGCAACATTTGGCTACAAGCTATGGCTGCGTGATTGGAAAGGACATCATGACGAGGTTATGCGTGGACGATCAGTACCACATTTCGCTCACGACGCTACGGATCATCCACGTTTCGCTTCTGGTCTTCTTGAGCCCGTGGATGCTCATGATTGGACAACTTGCAATCTTCCACTTCCACCTATGTACGTCTAGCAGTAGTAGGCATTTCGTATTCATGCCACCTTGACTTCTGCTGACTGTTATCGTACTATCCTTGCGCGTGTATGTGTATGTATGATGCAGGCATGGAGGACATCACGACATACGACTACATTGTCCGCCAACGGAAGCGGAATACTGCTCGTGCTCTAGAAAGACGGGAAGACATCGTACGTATTCATTGTGCTGATCGGGACCAAGTCTCGAGACGGGAAAGTGGCTTGTGCACCCGAACGAAAGACCGTGACAAGAGAACGTGGTCAGTTCTCGTCAGAGGGGTTAACTGTCTGCTTGTGTTGTACGCCTCTTGTGCGGGCACCCGTGCATTTGCTCTGCAGGTTCCTACGGTATGGTGGCAGCGGTGCTGTGGCGGTAAACCCGTCACAGAATCCACACCAAGCAATCCGAAGCCCAGCATGAATCCGACCAGTGACTCCCGCGAGTCGGACGAAAGCGTGCGCAACGAGGCCGAACAACTGGCAGCTATTGAAGCCTCCGTGGACGAAAGTCTGGACGTCCTGAGCAGTCGAAGCAGCGGGTTCCACAAACGCGAGAGCAGTCGTTTCGGAAGCAGTTTAAGCAGCCAGCCGAGACGCAGCAGTGGCCCGAGACGTGGCTTTGGTCTCCACGTCAACTTGATGCAGCAACGAGGTGGTCCGACCAAAGTCGGTGCAAAAAGCGACGCGTATACGCCTCGATCCGAAAGTGACGACACCAGTTACTCGGCCGCGCCGTACTCGCCAGGCGTTGTTGCATCCTACCGCTCGGACGCAAGTAGCGTATACTTTACGACTCGAGATGATGAGACCGGTCAGAGGAACAATGGCAGCGACATGAGTAGCGAGCGAGTTACGGCTTACAAGATGTCGAGCGGCTCGTCCGCCGGGACGTATGGCCGGTCGTCTGTGGGTTCGCCGTGAGGGAACTGCATTGTGTAAGTATATGTCGACGCGGCAGATGGACGAGGAGAGAAGACGAACGGTGGTATAGCTCTTGGTGTAGAGATTTTGTGAGGGAAGCGCGACAGGACAGCAGCAGGCGCAAGTGCGCTGACGGACTTTGTAAGCGTTTGGGACAAAGATCATACGTATTTATGCACATGCGCGTGGGCCCAGTTTCGCTCCGTTTATGTGTATGGCACGAGATAGAGCCAGACGCAAAGAAACAACGGCTGACGTGAAAAGGCGATTGATTGCGGGACCGATTCGCTAAACCTCTCGTGTGGAATGATTCAGAAACGATCGATTGCAGGCAGGCCAGCGTAAACACAAATTAGCCCATCGTGTGGAATGATTCGAGCACGATCCACCCTATCAAGCAGCATGAAGTGATCGACCCTAACGAGCTCATCGTAGAGAAGGCGCGGAACCGCCTCACGGAATTCTTCGCCACGCCCGGTGACTTCAACCAGCTGTTGTCTTGGCCTCGCCCTTGGCACGGCGACCTTAGGCCTCCCGCACAGCCGCGACCTTGAAGCTCTTGGCGCCCGCGTCTGCGCCAATGTCCACGTGCAGCACGTCCACGATACGGTTGACACTGGGCGTGTACAACGTCTTGCCGAGCACCGCGTGGTCGCGCGAGTGCTCCACTTCCAGCGAGTAGAGCCCGGCCACGGCCGTCCAGCCGCCCATGTCGTACTCGCGCTCGTCGAGCGTCGCTTCGGCGCCGGGCGCGAGCTCGCGCGTCTCGCGGATCTTGGCCTTTCCCTCGGCTTCGAACTCGTCCGAGCCAAAGGTGGCCGTCACTTTCACCGGGTGCGACGTCGCGTTCTTCAGGGCTACCGACTTGACGTAGTGCGGAACGGGGGCCATAGTGTCCCTTTTGTGTTGCTGTCCCTTTTGTGTTGTTGGTGGTGGTGTGTTTGGTCGATCCGCTGCTTCAACGTGAGAGCGCAGTCTCGGGACAAATCGGAGAGTGCGACACGTGCGGCGAGAGCTCCTGGTGGACTTTGGATCTCGATGGAGTGGACCACATTGAAGAAACACACACACACACACCGATCGTTTGTCGTACTTATTGCGCATCTTCGAAGCTAAATCAGCTGCGACACACAATTACACACAACGACCTGATCGCGCGAGTAATCGGCCGACCAATCAACTGATTAATTAATTCGTCTGCGCTCGAGCGTGAGGCGACGAGGGGGGGCTTCTGCGGGCAGTCGCAACGCGCTGATTGGCGGGTCTCGACCTGTGTGATCGCGTCATCTTTTCGTCGGAACGGTCGGCGTCTCGTCTGCACTTTGTTTCTCACTTCACTGTGGTGAAAACATCACACGCGGGTGGCGGAGAAGAAGAAGAAGAAAAAAGTAGTATTCCGTCCCGCGGGTTCCCGCGTACTATTATTTGCATGACCCGCAGCGACGAACAGTGGACGACTGCTGTCCACCAGCCGCGAGCGTTGTATACTGAAAACAAGTCACCGCATGTTTTCTGCCACGACGCCCACGAGCGCTGCGAACCGAATCCGTCGGCGGACTTGACGCCTTCCGGACGACTGAAGCGCTCAGCGCTCTGCCCCTTGGCCCGCTTTGATTTCGGCGCTGGCCCTCCTGCCCTTTCTGCTGCCCAACAAAACGTGGCGGCGGTCGAGTCAGGTCCGGCGTTAACACTGAAACATTGTACTGGCGACCGACGACCCGACCACGTGATTGACTTGACCCTCAACGACGAAGACAGTGGAGACGACGAGACGAGGGCGCGACCGCCACTGGCTGTAGCTGCAGCTTCGGCTGTAGCGATGGCGTCGGACAGTCCACTCGGTAAATGTGCAGGAAACAGTGCGAACAGTTGCGCTGCAGCTGCGACAATGCAGGCGCTGCCTCACGGCGATGCGGCGTCAGAACCGAAGATGCCGCTGGCAGAAGAGATCGAGTCGGACGTGGACGAGGAGTGGCCACAAGTGCCAGCGGCTGCAGCTTCGTCCCTGTTGTCGAACGAGTCGCTGTCGATGGATCCTCAAGCGACGTATAGTCGGACGCGGGCGAAGGTGGGGGCGACGTTGGATGCCATTTGTAAAGCAGTGCCGTTGGTTCGAGGTGGACCGAGCGACGATACCGTCGAACGGAGTGATGAGACTGACTCGAGGAGGCAACGAGAGGTTACTCGGCATTTGTGCAATGACAAAGGAGATGTGGCAATAGACGCAGATGTGGGCAGAGACCTTTCACACGACGTGCGTGAAGAGAACGAGAAGGATGTACCCGTAGTCACTGCGTCCGATCCGATTGCAGTATATGAAAATCTGGAGGATGGCGAGATTTTTGAAGAAAGAGGTTCTCCCGTGCCGGTGGTACCTATAAAAGTAGGGAAACCTCCGTCGATAACTTCAGGCACACCCCCGCGGGACGCAGTCGAGACACGTTTGTACCCACAGCAAAATAAGCAGAAAAAACGCGGCAAGAAGAAGCCGAAGCGAAAGCTCGAGGCAATGCAAATGATGCATACCCCGCCATGTGGAACGGGTGCGGACTTCAAGCGTACGATACGCCAGCGAGCGTACGTTGACGCGTTGCCACCCAACCAGCGCAGGCTTGCGCTTGCGAGGAATAGTTTACGAGGCGAAGCGATGAATGTGCGTCCTGTGTATCAAGAGCCACCTCCAGCATTTTGTCATGCTGGCGACCCTCGTGCTGGTATTCTACATTCGCCGGCAGGACCCCCGCTACAGCGACGATTGGCTCCCCCACCTGTACTGCAATACGGAGACAGTCAGATTCTGCGCATAAACCGTCAAGGCAGTGTCGAGATGCTCGAAGGTGGAGCTGGGTCGTCTCTTCATCGGACGTTTTCGGAGCCACTAATGCAGGGTGAGCCTGCGTTGTTTGTTCACTCGACATTTCCGGACCCGCCGATGCATGGTAGAGCCGGACCGTCGTATAGCCCGGCGTTTTCGGAGCCGTCGATGCGAAGCAGGGCAGCGTTGTTTCCTCACCCGACGTTTCCAGAGCCAGTGATGCAAGGTGGGTTTCAGTACCGTCCGGTGCCGATGCCTGCATCTCTACCCATGTCAAACAGACCAGGTGTTCCGTTGAAGCGCTTCGCGGGTGCTTCGTCCCAGCCCCCACACATGCCTACCCCACATAGCAATGTTGCCGCTAGTAAGCAGCGTGATGAGTCTGAAGAGTTTAATTTGGACAGTCTCCGAGTGGCTGCGCTTCGAAGCAAGACAAAGTATGTACCGAAGACAACGGAACGGATGAACCAGAAGGGGGCAACTGCAGCGCAGTCTATATCTCCATCGTTGCGATCGCCAGCGATTGTCGTCCAGAGTGCCAAAGGAGGGGAAAAGCCTGCAGGTCCTGGTATTGACAAACTACGTCTCGAGATATTGCAGTCGATGAAACGAAAGCGACCTTCCACGACGAACGATGTGACGCCGAAGAATGTTTTGCTAGCAAGCGAACCGGTTGCGATGGAAACTTCTGATGAAACTGCGTTGAGTGGCAATGTCAAGGTCGATCTTTCGGGTTCTCAGACGGACCAAGTAATGAAGGACGAGTTGTCGGAACCAGCGTTACCGGACGTCACTACTGATGCTGATCACAATGAAGGCGGTCGGCCTATCAGCAAGACGGACAACCCGGCAACGGGAGAGGAACAAAAGCAGGTAGATGGCAGTACAAATCTGGTCATTGCTGTTTCTTCAGAGGAAGTGAAGCCTCAAACACAACATACGATACAACCGCTAGAGTTCCGTCCTTTGACAGCAAGCTCCCAGTCTCTCGTGATTCGTCTCAGCCCGGAAGACTTTTCGCCGCATGATCGCGGAAGTGACACAGACATCAAGGCTTCCGCTTCCAGCAGCTTGCAAGGTGCGATCTACGAAATGAGGCGAAAGATCGCCGAACGCGAGAAGGAGAAGATGGATCGTTTGTTGTTGAGCGCCGCAACTTGGTTGTCGAAGCAATCCTTGGAGGCTTTGCCAAGCTCAGCGTTACCGTCAACGTCTTCGCCTCAATTATCTCGGGAAAAGCAGGCGAGCACCGAAGTTGCGCAGCTAGCAAATGGTACGACACTGTCTACTTGTGCAAGTGCACCTGCTATCGAAACTGCAAAGGATGCACCTATGGAAGTGATGGTCGATGGCGAGGCTAGCGTCAGTGGTCAACCTGAAGCGAGTATAATGAGGAAGATGGTGCTGACACCATGTGAAGGGGCTGCTTTGTCAGCAAAGACAATGGAAACGGCAGCAGATCAAGACTCACATCTGAAAGAAGCGTTGACGCCGCAAGCACTAAGTGATACTCTCGGGGTCAGTATTGTCACTTGTACGCACGTTTCGCCTTCTGTGTTGCAGTACGAAGTGCTTGCAAGCAGTGACGTGCAAAACGCTGATCCAGCGGGCAGTGTTCGCGTATAAACTAGTCGATCACTCACTCCGGCGGCGTAACGTCAAGTGAGGATGAGTCTTGTCTCCAGTTGCCAGTACTCATCGTTTTTGTGTGTCTCTTGGCTTTGTTACTATTGCAATAGGGTGTTTCGAAGCTGACGATTGCGGATGATGTCGAAGGGCAAACGCTATGCAATACTATGGCCACTGACAAGTCAGTACCCGGAAGTGCATTAGCCACTGACAGTGAGCCTGATTTCGACGCTATTCGAGCCGAGTACGAGCGATGTGTAAACGAGTACGAGGAAGCAGAAAATCACATTGCTCGATTGTCTCGTGAGATGGCTCAGCTCGAAAAACTGTTGCCTCGAGCTCGATCGATGGTGGCAGAAAGGTCATGAAGGTTGCAATGCTATCGCATTGTGACATTGTAGGTAAGCTAAATGGCGGTACAGCTGAGACCACTTGATGAGCTTTGCAGCGACTGACTGGTGGCTGCGTTTGGCAGGTACGAGATTATTTTTTGCGCGTAGAGAAGACGAAAACGAAGAAGGAAATGGCGGACGAAAGACGCGGATGATGCTTTATGACTCCGCCGAATAACGGAGATGCAGTCAAATGACCGAATGGCGTTTGACAGATCGACCAGATACTTATGTACGCGATTGGATCGCTTCTCGCACGAATAGGTGTGAACGTACAAGTGTACGCAAGCAGAACGAACGGGTAACTTGCGTGTGTGTATATCCCAGCAATTACTTTCGCAGTGATCATTTTTGAAGTGTATGCCTCATGTTTTGGTCTTCGAGATTGTGGTGGATTGATGGCCGTCAATGAGGTATCGACTAGCACGATGACATCCAGCAAGGCCACGCTGCTGGTGGAGTATACCCGTGATAGAGGTGTCGCTCCAACATTGCCGACGTTGCAAATGCATGTATGCTAGTCTCAGCTCTGTCAAGCAGATGTGGTGTTGCCAAATAGCAGCTGCATGAGTGATCTGCAACAGACGAAGCATGCGGTGGTATGGAGGCAGTACATACGAAGCGAAAGGCTTTGCTGAGTCGCGTGTAATGAAGAGAACGAATCGAAAAGAGGGGAGTTCAGACAAATTTGCGATGTCTGGCAAATAGCTGAATGAGCTGGCCAGCAACCCAGAGGCAAAACCTGTGAAGAAGCGAATGCAACACCATTGATAAGAGGCACCCGACATGCAGATACACCATTGCCGCTGATCTTTCTCGACTATCTTCTTGCGTGGCCTTCGAGTCGCCTTGGTTTTGCGGATCGTGTATGATGGACTCGCACAGTCTCCGTAACTTTCAGTCCACCACTGCCATAGACTGTGTCAGCTGATTGAGGACACCTTGTTCCGCAACGTAGCGAAAACTTGAAGGCTGACAGGCATCAACTGCAATCACGCTAACAACGAACAAGTGCAGTGCGTCTGAGCGACAAATTCGCAAGCTATCGACTCCATTTCACCTTTCACATGTCTTTTTGCGCTCGACATCTGCACGAGACTCTCAGGGAACGATGCAAAAGTCGTCTTCATGTTCTTGACCCAACAACTTCAATGACAGCACCACCAAGTCGTCAATCCAAAGACTGGTATCGCAATTGCTGACTGATCCGCTGCAGCGACTCCTTTCCTTTGCGACGACCTCATGAGTCAGCTGTCGACAACAAAGGCGTACAACGTGCCACAGTGTCTTCAGTCACGAAGTTGTGGTAATCTGTGGATGCTGAAGCACGAGCTGTAGAGGTCAGACAGAGCTCATTTTCGATACTTCAGCCACCCGTTGCTTGGAACCTACAAAGTCGAGCCTATGTAACGTCAGTGCCGGTTCCCAGCTCAAGTTTTGTATTCAACGACTCATTTTTGGCGGCCTCGAAGCCTGTTCAGCGTTTAGCAAATTGTATTCGCACGGACTCGAGAGAGCGCGTCAAAGCTGTTGTCTCGACGACGCGTTACTTCACACGATTGAGTGGTAGTACCTACTTCGTCCAAGAAAAGGGATGCAAAAGTCCAGGAAAAGGGTGACAAATGACCATTTCGATGTAGCTGTTCCCGCAACGATACACTGCATCATCTTAGAAGAGCAGCACAATCAAACGCGAGTCACACACAACGTACAAGTGTTGGCTACTTGCTTGATTGACACCAGCTCCATTATCTCACCGTCCTTGACACCCACTACATCCCACTTCCAGCCTAGAACGGCCACACCAATGAAAGGCCATGCCAGGAGCACCATAGCACCTGCTCTTCCCCGATCCCAGGGTACTTTCACCGACTGTAGCAAGCCCACATTCTCTATGTCAGCAACGGGCTGCTTATGACGGAAAAGCCTGTTGCCACGCCACCCTCGTCAGTACCCGAGAGCTTCGTACGCAACAAATGCCCTGCGTGCTTGTTCAGTATCGCCTTTCCTTCGCTGTCGAACAAACTTGCGATGAACATACCGAGCTCGCTGATGGTCGGGCCACTGGATGTCACGTTGTTACGAACGAGGACGGCAAGGTTCTCGTCGGGAAAGATGCGCTCCATCAGAATATACGACTCCAGTTCAGCGGGACTCATGTCCTGGATCGCCGACGCGACCTCATTGCCGTACAAGTTGTTGCCTCCGCCCTCGCGCTGAGGCTTTAGCACGTACGCGTGGGGGTTTGCAACCGCCATTTTCTTGACTTCCTCAATCGTTGCCGAGTTCTTCTCGAGTCCATACAAACCCGCAAATGACGATTCCAGTTGTGTGGCCTCCTCCTCGGACATAAATCGACGAAGGACCGCAGGGTCGGCAAGTACCTGCTGCACCTTCTTCGTGCCAGCCAAGTGGTAAGCAATTGATGGGCACTTGATCGCGTACGACCGTTCGATGATCGTACGACCAGCCCACTCTTGCTCCGTGGGGTAGTCAGTCGGCGTGTACGCAGCGCGAAAATACGCGACAGCTACTTCACGCCCATCGACCGTAAGCGTTCGCTTGCCATCGCGGTCAACTAGTTTACCGTGCGCATCCACCTCGGCCAACGTCCGGCGTAGTACATGAATGCCGTGGTGTTCCCACAATTGGTACTCCAGCCAGCGCTGATCAATGGCGTTCACCTCATCAGGTTGCACGAGAAACATCACGACGGCACTGATAGTATCAATGACAACGTGACGACATCCACAAAAACGTCAGCATGCAGCAAACACGACGGCCAGCACATACACATAAACACACATCCAGCAAGCGAAACATAGGAACAAGCAAAGAAACGCACCCTTTGACTCCATACTGCTTGAATGCCGCCGCAAGCGCATTCGGAATCGCCGTGATCGCGTCATTCTGCGGCAACGCTGTCGGATACTCGGCCGTTGCAATGCCGTAATGCTCTTCCAGCGCCACCATGTCAGCTCCAAACCGACTCAACAAGAACCTAAGAGCAGCAGCAGTGACAGGTTGCACACAACACACACCACAGCAAATAAAACACACACAACAACAAAACAATCACACGTTGTCGGATACAACAAGACGCAGACACAACACAAAAGCAGTAATTGAGAACAGAGCACACACACACATCAGTAGCGCACGCTCTGGCTCAGCCGTACCGGTGCATGTCCGACACGAGTGAGCTGATACAGCCAAAAGATGACGCGATCGTGTTGAGCTCGACCTGCAACAGCTGCTGCTGCATTTGCTTCTCGTCGACTGTCCCGTCCGTCACGTGCTGCGCGTGGTGCAGCATATAGTCCGAGCGATGAATGCCCAAGTACGTCTGCTGCTGAACCCCTTCGCGCTGCACCGTCTTCGACAGCTCGAGCAGGCGCAGCGTGAACGCGTCCTCCGTGCCCACGTTCTCGACGCAGCTGTGGAGCCACGCAACGTCGCGACTCACGCGGTCCACGAGGTGTCCGTACACAGGCGACAACTGGACTCCCTGCTCGAACTGCTGCCTGGGAAACTGCACCACAGTAGTTCATCGCAAGCAGGTGAACGTGATGTAGCCATTCGTTGGTGCATCGCATGGGGTTGAAAACATGCAATTGATCAAAGAGTAGAAACGGTCCGCAGCTCTTTTGTTGGTGCGTCTCATGGCGTATAAAACATGCGGTTTGAAACTGTTTGTTATGTGTGGTACCACGTACCGGCACGGGCAGCAGACAGAGGGGAATGTGGACGAAGGCAGACGGAACGTCGGGCTGTGTGGTCGCGGCGCGGCGCTGATGCACGAGCAGTCCATGCGCTGCGGCGTACGAAATGGCGTGGCCCTTGACGTCGGCGAGCTGCTGATTGGTGAGGCCAATGACAGCGCCGCTCTCGTCGGCGCCGGTCGTCGCGACTTGAGCCGCTGCGGCTGCTAAGAGATCGGCCATGTCGACGGGGTATGTGGTCGAGTGGGGTCAGTCGACGTCGTGTGATTGGCTGAAAAGCGAGAGCGAGCGACTGGACCGATGGATCTGTACAGTGATATTGCCAAGCGTTGTGTGATATTCCCTACAGGCGAGAGACTGACTTTCAGAAAATTGATTATGTCGAAGTGGCGAAATTGTTTTATTCAATGCAGTAGAGCCATTGCACTGCACAGCTCATCGTGAACTTTGTATGTTACGTGCGAGACACGGACTGATCCAGATCAGTTGGCCATCGCGGGCCACAAAGACAGTGTACATGTGTATGTGTGTAACTAAATGTTCACACTTAAGCTGCGTGTAGGTAATATCGATACGGCTACGCAATGAACTTTTCGCTACGGCCTCGGGTGTCCTTGAAGCTCTTTGCTTGTTCATGACTCGTCAAACTTGACACATACACTCCTGCCGCCGCTGTCTCTTATACTATCTCGTCCTCATTGTGTGACGATTCAGCTTTCCGCGATTCTGTATGCTCTTACGCGCTATCAGTTCATGTCACGTTCACTCGTCTCGCGTCGACCGATTGTCGCCACGAAGTACGTATTGCCACTGCTCTGTGTCTCGTGTCATCACATATCACTTGCATCCAAATCATATTCAAGACTTCGAAAAGGCTTTGCACCTCTCGCTGGACTGTCATCAAACTTTCGTATGCGGCCCACTCAATCTCCTGCTCACACTGATTCAAACTCACTTGTGGTTGTACATTCACTTGCACACGACGTAGTGGAACGGGCATCCGACCGATTGACTATTGTATTGACAATCGCAACGAACGTGCGAGCTGACTCAGACTTGATTCCAGCGTGATTGCGTGTGGTCGTTGACTACAGACGAGTAACGTCAAGGCTTCGACAGTACCATGTGAAGGCATACACTTTATTCGGGCTCACATACAGCCGTACAGGGCAGTACATCTTGCAGGGTTTTTTCAACCCAGTAAAATTTGTACACCCAGCACAATCCATTCGTGTGAGTGAATACGTGGTGCGTAATTGACCACAGCAATGTGCGATCAATCCGAGCATTGCAATACGTACCCATCGGCTCATGATTGCTGTGCAGTTTCTTTCTTCGGGAGAGAACGTGCCGTGGCGCTCGACAACAAGGGCACAGCCGCGTCAGACACTGTTTGCACAAACCAGGCGACAATCCAAACACCAGCCGTGACTTCCATTGATTGCATCTGACATGCTGCACACACGGTCTCGTTGATGTGTAAGCAGCTTGTTCTACACCACGTCTCTTGGCCTCGCCGTCACAAGGACATCAAGCCGTCACTACCTCTCCAGGCCTCGCCGCTCCCGCTGTCTACTTGTGTTTGCGCTTGGCCGCCTTCTTGCTAGCTTTCTTGCTGACTTTTTCAGGCGTCTCACCCATCGCCGTCATGATGGTTTCAGTATACGAATTGATCGCTTTGGTCATATCGTTGCGGTCCGTCCACGGCCGACGCAGCTCACCCCACGCTTTGTGTCCACGCAGCGTCACTTTTACAACCGGTGACTGAAAGAGATTCCACGGCTGCGTGAGCGCTTGGATCACAAGCGGCGGAAAGAATCCCCACTGCCAATGCACCAGCACAGTCATGACCGTACCTAGCACGTACTAGAGCAGCAAAAGTGCACATCCACACACAGTCCCCGTCACTTTACATCCATACCCCCCCCTCTCTTCTCTTGCAATCAACAGCGACATCATCAATCTATGCCTCTTCTGCAGCTATTGACGTACACGCTGCACGTCCTTCCTGATCATCCGTTGGTCGTGCTCCGCCACAGAGACCTTCTCGACTTTCTCGCCAGTCTGTCCAAGTCCCAAGTCCTCTTTCACCGTCACCACGCCCGGCTCTGTGTTCTTCGTCGCCTTTACGTACACATACAGCAGCACACTGTAGCAAAAGAGCTGCGAGAGGCCGTACAGGGCCCGCACAGCGCCCGTGTGGACTACACCAGAGCCACAAACCCAACCACGTTAGACACAAAAGACCATCCAATACGACCGCACAACCACAACGACAACCACCAGCATCAGCACCAGCAGCACAAGACAGAGAAGCACTCGACGCCACCTACGCGCGTTCTCAACGTCCAGCACCGACCGCGTCGCGATCGCAATCGCGAGCGTTACGCCCATCATGACGATATTCGGCGCCATGTTTGCCGTCCAGACAAAAATCCACAACGATGTGGTGTACGTAAACATCAGTGTGGTGCACGTACACAATTGTGTGGTGCACGTCGACAACGGTGTGGTGCACGTATACGCACCCGCCCCACGTATCCCGCCCGACGCCTGACTGTGCCCACTCCATGGTACACGCGCAGCAGCCCCCTCTCACACTCGATACCTCGGCAAACCGCATACACCGCTCGCCTCGAGCTCGCAAATGCCAACCGAGCAGCTCACGCGCGCCCGCGGACGGCGCGGGATGGCATCCGCCGCCGCCGCCGCGGACCAGCGGCCGCCCGTGAACCCGTACAACTTCACGCGCGAGGACTACGACGACATTGTGCAGCAGGCGCCGACGTGCCGCGTGAGCGCGCGGTCCAAGTACCACGAGATCGAACTCGTCGAGGACTGCACGCTCTTTGACCTGTACCGCCAGCCGCGCGCGCCTGTGACGGACCGACACGCGACGAAAACGCTGTCCATGCGGCAGCTCAACGCCGACCTCACGTGTCCCATCTGTCTCGGCATCATCAAAGAGACAATGGTCGTCATGGAGTGTCTCCACCGCTTCTGCCGCACGTGCATCTCGACGGCCATTCGCCATAGTAAGCGCGAGTGCCCCTCGTGCCGCATTCACATTCCTTCGAAGCGGTCGCTACGACCTGACGCGACGTTCGACGCGTTCATTGCGACCGTGCACCCGAACTTGGAGGCCTTTGAGCGCCACGAAGACGAGATCATTCAGCAGGTGAACCGCGCGAGGCGGTGCCATGCGAGTCAGAGCAGCAGTGTGCACGACGAGCAGGCGAGCGCGATGAGCCACGGGACAGCGGGGGCGGCAGGCCATGGCACGCGTCGACAGGTACGTCGTGTGTAGCTGTGTGTGTGTGTGTGGGTATGGGCCGAGACGTAGTGTCTTGTGTCATGGCGTGGTGCGGTTATTGTGGGGTGGAAGGAGAGCAAGTGGTAGACATGTTGTGAGGACGGTACGATAAGATGAGTGGGGTGACGCTGTTGTGCTGTATGTGTGTACAGAGTGGGAGAATCCATGGCGAGCAGGCTGCGACTTTGTCACGTTCGTCGTCTCCAGTGCGTGGAGAGGGACGAGTGGTTGGTGAGAAACGCCATTCGCCTGGGACTGGCTCACCTCGTGCCAATGGATCGTCGTCTACTACTGCTGCTGCTGTGTCAGAAGACGGAAGGGCTGCACGCAAGAAGTTGCGAAATGCTTTGAGCTCGAGTGCGTTGGTGCCAGCAGTGACTTCGGAACGTGTGAACCTGCGCGTGTTGCTGCATGATGACGAGCAGTCGAGACTCCCGACGTTGGAGCGCACACTGTTCACCACGTCATCGAAGCTCAAGATCCGTCATTTGAAGAAACACCTTGCCTCGCTGCTCAAGCTTGACACGCACGATCGGTTGTGCATTGTCTTGCCTACAGTGAACTGCAAGCTCAGTGGCTTGAGCGAGCGAGCGAAGAACCGAAAGAGCGCGGGCAGTGGTATTCGACAAGACCTGCTGTGCGATCAGGAGCTCGAGGACTTTGTGACTATAAACGATATTTATCAGCAGTACGGAATGGGTATAGATTGGGAGCTACGCCTGCTGTATCACTTTTCCTCGGATACCATTATCAATGGCATCGCTCGCTTCGTGTCAGCGGCGTCTAGCACCAGATGAGTGAGTGGTGAGAGAGACCAGCGACGCTGGATATTCAGCCGCGACATAGGCTTGCGAGTTTCACGTCGTCAGGTGCCAGACTCCAGTTGGAACTACATTCGTCTTTTGTTATACAGTTCACGTCGAAAGCACTCAAAGGCTACTCCACAGCCAGCTGCAGAGAGAGCCCACACAGCAGAGCAAGATGTTGGTACATTCACCCGTAAGTAACCTCGACTTATCTCAAATGCAGCCACAGATTCTCTAGCGTGCTGTCTTCGTGTGTCAACTGTTTGTGCAAGCTGGTTTCCATCAGGCCGAGCTCGTGTTGCAGGGCCTTGTGTGCAACCTTCTCTCCAACCCTTCGTTCATCATCACGCAAGAATGCTCGAAGTCGAGCGAGGCACCAAGCAGCATACCGCCGAGAACACACGTGCTGACACTTCCATGCAATCTCAATCTCGCACAACGTCGCACGAGCCACGGAAGACACGTGGACTCGGTCACTGCTCAACGTCTTTCGCGTTTCATCCCATGCCGATCGCAGCGTTGCAGCATCCGGTGACTCTTGCTCTGCATTCGAGAGACGTCCTGCCACTTGAGAGATGCGCACAAGCACCGGAGACACGTCGGCCATGCCATCGTGCGACGTTTGTACTTGCTCAAGCAAACGCTGCATCACGTAGCGTCGATGGCACCATAGCGCTTCGTGTGTCGAATAGGGCGCCATGACATCCGATACAAACTCGAGCTCTGCCAGGATCATAGTCGTCGAAGGTAAACTTCCGTCCGGCTCGTGTTCGTGCTGATGAACGAGCTGATTGAGAGTATGCTGGCGATGGTTCCAGCCCGAGTGATCGGACACGTGCTGTCGACACCAATGTCCCATCCTGTCAAGTTCCTCGACCGTCGAAAGCGTCGAAAGTCGACAGACAATCCAGTGACGGAAGCTCCATGCATGGTAATTCCGTGGCTTTTGATCGGCCAACCGACTTGCATCTTCAATCTGCTGCTTGTAAAACACCTGCAGGTCATCTCCAGACAGCGCGGCACACAAACGAGTTGCCAGCCATCGTCTGTGAACAACATTCAGGTTAGTGCTCGACAACGAATACCGATCAACTTTACCACATCGCAGTGCTCCAATGGTACGTTCTGGTCGCTCTCACCGATGGGCCCACGTATCAATACTTTTCGGGTGCAATGTGAAAATCAGATTCGTAAACCTCATGTCGTCCTGCGCGTCCAGCCATCCTCGCGTCACGAACGACTTTCTATGTCCATTTGATAACAAGTGAGCATCAATAAGAATAATATGACAAATCGGCCCCCATACACCATTCCGCTTGCTCTCTCGATAGTCATATACAGCAGGAGCTCTTCCGTCTTTTGGTGAAAGTCTCAGAAAATCTCACCGAGTATTCCACGCCGTGTAGAAATCGGCGCTGACAAGGAGAATGGCCCGTGTACAATGCAGCAATTGAGTGCGCTGTAGCTGTTCCATATCGACACTTTTTGCCGTTTCTTCGGCCGCAAGTTGTCGTAAACGAGCATTTAGTCGATGAAACTGCGCGCGAGCAGCTTGGAAGAGCGCAGGTCCAGCGGCAAAAGCCACACCAAGTTTGTGATGTTCCAGTAGAAAAGCGGTGTCGACCGTCAAGTCGCTTGGCTCGAGGCCAAACAGCAGTCCGACTTCATCACTATTGAGAGAGATGCACGTGCATGACCATAAATATATGAGTGACAAGGGAGTTCCGAGACAAGAATCACAATAATTGTTAAAGCGCCAAAACGATTGGGAACAAAAACGACCGAACGTCGTCAACGAGTACGCACATGAGTGGGTCTTGCTCGAAGAGACGCGAGAGTTGTGCGAGCAGCGCGTCGCCAGACATCAGGTCAGCAACGACTGTGGGATCGCAACGAGTGCGAGTCGACCGCTTTTTTGTTGTGTATGGCCAAAAGCTGAATCTTGGAACTTTTTGACACGATTTGTTAAAGCTGACTGGACGAGTTTATTCCCCGAAAGCGGTACACGAACTTTGGAACGGTCACGATCCGAAGATGGAAACGAGTGTGACAGCTTCGATTTCGAGTGTCAACAGAATGGACCGCACGCAACAACGGAGAATTGTACCGGTCGTTGAGCTTGCAAAGTGCGTCGCTCGGTTGGCAAAGCTGGTGATATCCAGGCCGAGATCGTCAACTCAATATAGCCGAGTGGAATGCCAAAGGTTATCGACGCTGCCGTGCGACACGCACGTTGCCAGCTAGTGAGACGGACGGGCGTTTCAGCTCGAAGGGTCCATTTTGACGACGACTCGGGCTATGGATACTGTATCCGGAACGTGCCGTTTATGTCGTGGGTCATGTACACCATGATGGGGTTCAGCGAGTGTCTCACTTTGTTTTTGGGACTGCTGCCCGACTTCAGTATGTGGCGTCCGACTCGTGGTGGTGCGCGGTGCACGAACGACTTCAAGCCGCCTATTCTCAAGGAACAGCGGCCGACGGTCGACATCTTTTTGTATCACTACGTGGAACCGGTCGCGGGTTTGATGCAGACAGTGAAGATCTGTCTTTTGCTGCAGTATGCACCCGAGCTCGTTCGCGTCTTTGTGCTGGATGATGGCAACACTGGGTCTGTGTGGGACGCGAACGACCACTTGAAGGTGACGATGAACAGCAATGTGATTGAGATACGTGGTGACTTGCGCGACAATCTTGCGCGACTCGTGCTCGAGCGTGTGATGGGCCTGATCAAGACGACCAAATCTTGAAGAAGAGGCGTCGTCAGCACAGCTCTGTCTGTGGACTTCGCAAAGAGGGTGGTAAGAGTGTGCAGCGTCGTGGTTGTGCTGTCGTCTCGCTTTCGGATGACTTCGACTTCTGTGAGCGGGGCTATCCGCGTGTGACTTGAATGAATGAATGAATGAACTCGAGCACACCACTCGAAGGCAGGCTACATGAACAATCGTTTGCTCAACGAAGGTGCTGACGGCACGTATGTGCTAAGTCTGGACAACGACATGAAGCCGCATCTGAAGTTTTTGCTTGCGGTGCTGTCGTTGGTCTTCTCGGAAGGCGAGGCCATCGACGGTGGGGGACGTCAGTACAGAAACGATATTTCGCGGACCTAAGTGTCTTTCGTGCAGACTATTCAGTACTTTGAGAGCATGCCTCAGCTGACGGTTAGGGGTGACCGGTGCGAGCACAGGAACGCCATTCTTTTTGACGCTGTGTGTAGCGTGGTCGTGATGGTTTCGACTCGGCAGATTTTGCCGGTTCAAACGCTGTGTTCCGTCGCCAAGCCTTCGACTCGATCGGTGGCAGTCAGTACGGTTCGGTAGTCAGACTGATGATGCGTGCACGAGTAATGTGGTCCGCACTTCTGGTTGGGGCCCGGTGTGCCTAAGCACGGATTTCGAGGGAGATGCCAAGGACAGTAGTCGATTGTGCGAAGGTGCTGTTCCTGAAACAATGGCTACTGCTATGGACTGGAAGAAGCGTTGGACAAAGGGAGCTGTGCAGATTTTGCTGATGCAAAATGAATGCGAAGTCGACTCGGACTAGCGTCCACCGCGCGTGCCTGCCCCGGACCCGGACCCGAAGCCGTCCGTCACGTTCCCAGCGCAAGATAAATTTCACGACTCGGTGATGTACCCGTATGGTACGGTGTGCCTGCCCTGTGCTACGTGGCGATCGCTATTTTCGATTCTTGCATGGGAGACGCGCCGATCTACGCTCGTAGAACGAATACCCTGTACTCTTTCTTGCCCGTGCCGTTCTGCCGTTGAGTGCTGAACCTGCCGTGTACACTCTCTAGCCCTTGGCGTTCTGCCGTTGGGTGCTGATTCTGCTGGCCAACCGCGCAGTCGACAACAACTACAAGAAGCGTGCGCAGGCAGGCATGGTCTTCGTTGTCGTTCATTTCGATGATGGCAGTTTTGAGGCCATTCAGGCGCGCGTGACGGGGATGCACAAGTCATGAGCAAATATGGGCGATGGTCAGAAGACGTCGTGGACGAAAACGCAAACGTGCTTTTCTTCTTTACGCTGCTGGTCAGAAGACGTCGTGGACGAAAACGCGACCGTGCTCTTCTTCACGCTGCTGGTCAGTCAGCTCGTGGCACTCGTTCGTGTCTAGAGCACGAGAACGCGACGAATTTGTGGAACTACGTGTCTGCCATATTGTTTGTTTTTTTGTCTTGAGCTATCAGGGGGAGATGATGAGTCGCTGTCCCACTCATCATCTCCACCTGATAGTCCGACATGACGACCCCCTTTTCTCGTACCACATGTTAACAGGTCACATTTTCGTCCTACCTGTCAGCTTATTAGCCAATCAGGTGAGATCGCGACGTACCTGTAACAGGTCTTGCAGTTGAACACTGGAACTTCGATGACCTGTCAGAAAGTATATCTTCTAGCACGTGCCTTGCTATGACGTCTTGCAAGCAGTACGAATACCGCAGCACAGCGCTCATTTGTTTTTTGCTTGCTTGTTTGTTCGAGCATGGGCTACTACACTGTACGGCAATCGACGAGCACGGAAGGAGCTATGTTCGCTCAAGAGTAGACGAACGTTAACAAGCCAACCGCAATCGTAATCATACACTTGTTTTGTTACTCACTTCAATAAGAACTACGTTTTCGCTTGTCTTTCATGGGACTATCGACACCTATACGCTCTAGAACGTAGGCGCCAAGCGCATCAACAGCACGCGCAGGAAGCAATCGCAATGACGACGAAGAGTGATGAGTCTTCATCAGTCACTGCGAATGCACACCACGCTCAACTTCGTCCAAAAACACGCCACGTTCCACATCTTCAACGGGGGCAATGAGCCCCGAAGAATTGCAGATCGCAAACGCGTTCTCGAACAAAGTCTGCTGCCACGCCTTGACCGCACCACGTTCCGGAGCCTTCGGTGAGCGATGAGCTCCGGTAGACGCAACAGAGAGAAATGGGTCTCTGGAGCGCCAATCCCGGAAGCTTGTTGCCTTCTCCTGGCAACGTGTGTGGTTTAACACCCGTTGCCCAGCGCGGCGCGACTTCCTCCGATCTCCACGCGCGTCAGTTTTTTGCTGACAGCATCTTTGAAGTACCAAGGCCGGCAGTCGCAGCAAGAGCCGCACGGAAAGCAGCAGTGGCTTCGACACGCGCGCGGGTGGACACCGTGCTCGCAGTCGCACCAACACGCGCTCGAGCAGTAGCCGTTGGACAAACACGCGCGCGAGAACCAGCAGTAGGTCCAGCGCCCATCCTGATAGCAACGTCCTTGACACTCGCAAGCACACGAGCGCGTTCATCTTGGCCGGTTGTGGGTTTCTTGCGAGGCGTCGTGCTTGTCTTGGAGGGCGCTGCGACTGTCTTCTCACGCTGCTTCTGCTGTATTCGTGCCTTGTTCTCGCCCGTCGCCTCCGCACTGCTGTCTTGAGAGTCCTTCTCCTGTAGCACCAGCTGCAACTCGGACTCGCGCTGGACTTTGAGCTGATCTTGAGCGGCCTCCTCAAGCTGCTGCTCCGGTCTTGCACTTGTGGCTTCGGCCATTTCGGCGCGCTGTCGGAGCGCCAGTACTTCGATCTCCATCTTGAGCCGCGACTCGATGGCTGCGTCGCGCTCTTTATTTGCTGCCCGTACCAGGTCTGCTCGCACCGCACTGAGGTGCGTCAGCACAACGGCTTGCTTCTGTAGCACGTCGTTCGCGTGCACGAGCTTACTGTACGCATGCAAAATTGCATCGTAAGTGCTCTGCGTAAAAGTGGCCGTGGTGTCCATTGCGAATTGGAGAGCAGAAGTGAAAATGACAAAGAAGCACGAGGGGCGGCGGCGGAGTGGTCATGGAAAGATTCATTCATTAATGTTAAGCGAAGTGGATATGCAAAATGGACTACTTCAACTGTAAGAGAAGTGGCCTGAGACGCGGCGGTGAGCCAAGTTGAAAATGGAGTAAAATGGCGCAAAAAACGGGCGCACGATTGGCGGCAAGTGCGACAAGGCATTATTTGATGTAAATGAGGCGATCAAGTTGACGAGACCAAAAGATGTGATGGGTTGATCCGTGCAAGTAGGTTTTATTCGAGTTAGAGGTAAGAGAGTGGCGATGTGTACTGATTAGAGGTACTTCTGGACGGCTCGGCAGACAGATTCATGCTGCCAGCTATCGTTCCGCTGTATATTTCACTGCGTCGAAAGGCAGTTGAGCATGTTTCGCTACTTTACAAAGCACAAGCTTGACATGATGCTAGGGCTACGTCAAGGCCTTTGCACTAACGCTCTCTTCGGCGTTATACCTCAAGGAGGCGTCGTCACAATGCTATTATCGCTACCCTTAAAGTTTACGCTGACATGATCGTATCTGCTTGATGTTTTGTCTTTCTTATCTTTATCGCACGGACTATCAGCTTCCTTTGACCCCCTGGCCGATATTGCCCCATCGCTCGTCAGGTCACAAGCTCGTCCCACGTCACCCCATGCACCTCGTGACGTGCCAGCGAACCACCTCCACGCAGTGCCAAACCTAGGAGCCTCTGAACCATCCACAAGCTTACAATGTTAGTCAGTGTGCTCGATTCCAATCGCAAAATGTTGCCATCCTCGTTACATGCTGTGGGAAAAAGACACGACATTCCGAGATAGCGAAACAAACTGCAGCGTCGTCGCAAGATCACGTGCCATGCTACACCAGTCCGCGAAAGATAGGCAAACTCGACAAGCGATACGAGAGTGAGTGGCCAGGTTTCCATCGTAGCCTAAAATTGCTACGGGACCGCTGCACAGGAGTACGCAACCGAGCACGGATGAGATCATTTTTCGGCCAGAAATGCCATCCAAGAACAGAACACTCAACAACGTTCAGCCGATCTCCATCCTTTTCGAAATGTGATGTCTGACCCTCACACATAGCTGCTATGCTATCAGACAACCACCCTCGCAATGCCTGCGACGCAACATTTTGGATGTATCTTGCAGCACCCTCTTCCAATGCAGCACGGTCTCCATTGCATGTTAACATGACACTACAAAGCGTTCTGGGCAACAAGTTGTGGGTTTTGAGCCACATGCAGACTGAATGCGCAAACGGAAGCCCACAGGCTAGGGGCACTTTTGATCCACATTGTCAACACTGCCTCGTTGTCGAAAGCCCGTAGCAACACATACCTGGCGCTTCCAGTCCATACAGGCAGAAACTCAGTCTGCATCTACGATGAACAACGCGAGCAATTCAATCGCTATGCCGTTCAGTCGTCAGTTTCATCGCTGTCAGCGAGCCCAATACCATCACCATGCCGTTCAGTCGTCAGTTTTGTCGCTGTCAGCAAGCCCAATACCATCACCATGCGATCGATGCTGAGATATCATGATGCCACTTCAGCGGGCACAGCAAAATGGGGTGGAAAAAGCAGCGTTTAGCTTCCATACCCACCCTGGTGTCGCTCGTGCTGCCTCTGGAACAGTATCGTCCTGGTTTACGAAGTCCTTGACATGCTTACCTTTCAGTTGTCAAACGTTCGACTCCGTAATAGTTGACTTTTGCTGGGACTCATCGGGACTAATGAAGTTCAGTGTGCAAGCTTGACCGTTGTAGCCAACGACTCAGCTACGTGCGTTTCTCAAAAAGATGTGTGCAAGTTAACGCGTTTACGTGCGCTGACAATCAATCGGTCTTCAGAACCTGCATAGCCAGCTTGAAGTCAATATGTGCATCCTTTTTGACTTGCGCCCGATCGAACAATAACCACACAAATCTTGTTCGCATGTCTTGCTGTTACTTCATACGTATCCGCACGGTTTGGTACCGCTGAAAATGCTTGTCCAGGGTCAGTGCTGACCTGAGCACGACCACTGACTCTGCGTCCTTCTCGAGATGTGCCATATTTTGGACCTTCGTACAATACCCACGACGTGAACAAGACTGGAATGCATTTACTGCATACATAGTGACGCTGGTATACCAATTCTTTGCTCAACGTGTCAGCCTTGCCGAGTTCTGGTTCCACGAGTGCCAAACGTACTAAGCGCTATGAACTGGGCTTTCAATCATGATCGGCGTGAGAATGCCATTTCATCATTCGAAGCCTTCAATGTTTACTACATAACATCGTGTAGACAAAACTTTATCTTCAGCCTCGTACACTCCAGCGAGACACACCCAATCTATCTCCATTGATCAATTGACACATGCTGTAGAAACATCGGACTAAAGCATAGTCGTCATGCAGGTATCAGGTGGCAGTAGTAACCCCCCCTACCATATCATAGGTCTGGCTGCATCGTTGTTGCTCTCAATCTCACGCGGTGGCAATGTTCAAAGGTGCACACGCGTTGTACAACGATCACATGTTCAGCCGTAGCGGATTAGTACGCACGACCATCATCATGCCGGTCGCGATGTCGGCACCAGTAGCTGCGCGTATTGTCAGCACCAAAAAGCTGTTTTTGCTGTGATGATGCCCCATCGATCAACCTCGACAGCTTGATGATGTAGCAAAAGTGTCCGACGCGTATCAATACAACTCAACATGGTCTGCCACATTCGCACTCGTGCCTCCACATCCGTGGGAGTCGACGCGAACCTTGCCAGCCTTGCCGAACGGTCTTTCAATTTTGTCTTTATCCACATTCTCCTTATCACAAGCGATACATCGCACGTGGCAGCCTACAGCGTCACGTGCTTCTCGCTCATCTCCGAACAGCCCCGAAACAATGGCAAACGGTTTCCTCCCAGCCGCACTTGTCTCGCCGTTTGGACGCTTGATTGATCCACTTTGAGCAGCACTTGGCGCCAGCGCAGTATTTTCTACGTCGACAGCGAGCACATTGTAGGTAGTAAGCCCATCCGTTTCGACTGACACTTGTTTGTTATCTGGAAGTGATATCGGTGCCTGGACAGCTTCCGGATAAAGCGAAGAAGCATCTTGACATTGTAGAAGGTTATTCGTCAGACTAAATGCTTGTTCACAAGCACGTGCTGCAGCCCTAAGTAGCTTTCTATGTTGCTTTGGTGCCTTCAACGTGATTAGCTATAAGAAGCGCAACACGAGCTTCTCTCCTGGAGCCGGGACCACATGTTGGTGCACATTCGACGTCTTGTTACTTGGCACCAACGCGATGCGAAACTTGCCGGTATCACCAAAAGGCCCGAGCATAACCCCCACTATGCGCACTTTCTTGAACAACACCGCCAAGCCCTGGCAAACGCTCCACTTATCATCTTTCAAGAACATGTCACGACCGATTGTTTCACTTTCGTCTGCATCGCCACCGCTTCTTGACACGACCGCTTTGTCCACAAGCCATCTCTGATCTTCATTCGACCAATTTGCATATCAGCTAGGCTCACAGCTCTGCGGTGAATGGATGACAGCGTCTTCAGCTCCTCACTACTTGACCCCACAACCATGTCGACAGTGCCATAGAAAGCCAGACGACACGAAAAGAGTTTTGCGTCCAGACGAGACTCGAGCACACGACAAGCGCCGCGGGTAGGCAAAAGACAGCCAATTCAGATTGAAGCAGCGCAAACAGTACAGCTGCGCCAGTGTTTTCCTTGCCGTCACGATCGCTGTGTTCAAAATGAAGATCTGGCACGTACTCGTACAGCACCAACATCTCAAATTGCTCTTCAACATATGTCCAGCATCGTCTTCTGTTCTTCTTTATTGGTGACAAATGTCGCAGTCGCTATCACAGTCGTGTGTCCCACCGAAGTATGACACTAGACTCCACAGTTACAAGCTCTGCCTCGTGAGAGCGGTACACGTGCCACCCCAACGATCACATGCACCACGGCACTCAATCTCCACGGCGGTGACACTGTCTCTGCTCGTCCTACCAGTGCGCGATCTAGTCCGTTCACGCTTAGCCCAACACCTCCGTCCCCTGTATGCACCTCTCGACGTCTTGTCGGGACATCTGCAGCGTCCTCACTCGAGTCTTGACTACAATGGGCAGCAGCTCCAACTCACTTCCTTTCGACAGCGCGCGAGATACCACTGTTCCAATGAGCACTGTGCTCTGTCCTCGTGCAGCAAAGCAGTGGTCTACTGCAAGACGAAACCCTCCACGAGCATCACGTTCTGGCACCTCTTAATTGGTACGCAGCACGTCCACGAGATGTGAATGGTCATGCACGCTGTGTCCAGGCCCCGCGGCCACAGGCGGGACTGGAACCGTCGCGTCATTTGAGCGCCACAAAGTCTGCAGCGATGAAGGTCTGTGTCTCGCGCGTCACAGCGTCAATCGCAGTCGTTTTTTCCGCATCGATCGGAGACAGCAGATTTTTAATTATCAAAATGTTTTGAATATTTTGTTTTTTTTATTAAAAACACCAAATAATCATAAAAGTAATAAAATAGTCGTCAAAAACAATTCAGGAATAATAAGTTCAAAAAAAATCGGCTTAGACACGGTGTTCTTCTTGTGGCAAGATCTAGACTCATTCGTTCTGCTCAAAGTTGTACAAAGATAGGAGTGATGTATTCTGGTGACGTCGCTGCTTGTGATTGAACGGAACAATCTCATGGGGACAAAGATCCATCTTGTCGATGTTTCTAGCCCGCCTTGCTACACAGGAATGGATCATATGCCCATCGTTCCGACGTTCATTGTTGGCACATATGGGTATCAGCCATTGTGATCAAGGTAAATCATTTACCCCCACCCATGAAGATAGACTGTCCCATTCACATCGTCTGGCTGCGAGTCAAAGTCGCATCGATCCTGGATCACCGTGTTTCGTTGCTGGAATGTGTCACCTTGTGCTATGTCACAAGATGAGTCTTGGTAACAAACGTCTTTCGTACCTTTTTCTTTCCAAGACGTTTCTCGGGATCTATTGCACAAGGTAACACATGCCACGAACGGTCTGCAACACGTGATACGTCAGAGTATAAACCAGCGCAAACATTGCGTACGTTGACAGTAACTGGAAGCAGTAGCCTCCTCACAAAGAGTAATCAAGTCATCTATCTTTAAAGCCAAAGGACCGCACGTCGATGAGCTAGACGGGCAGAATGTGCAGATGACACTGCTTTCAGTCAAAGTTTGCGTCGCGGGTATGAGCTGAGAAAACCCTGTAGCGCAACAGAACGTCTTGATCTTCGTTATAGGCGGCTTATAGTAAGCTTGCAATTGTATACTGTTTTGCCACGTCGACTGACAAGATTCGAGTTCGACTGTAGCTGCCATGCTTGCAAAAAGTGACAGCTCGGCGCACAAGTCACAGATTTTGGTTGACAACGTCTGTTTTGATGTGGACGAAGCAAAAGGAGTCAGGTCGTTCAACACGACGATGGCCGCGGCTGGACATGATCCAGTCGATGACTGGTGTTCGTCGCATCTTATATGAAGACACTAGGAAACATCACATCACGTGCCGGACCTTTTGTGCAAAAGGGGTGGTCGTTACGCTACTCGACGAGTCTATCTTGATTACAGTGTCACGCTCGTCGAGTGGACTAGTGCAGTACCGAAGCTTATTATTGATTTGACTATCCCCCGACTTCTTTGTTATAGCGACAAAACATTTACGTAGAGCAGCCGAGTAGTTGAGTCGGATTGTAGTTTCTGTATAATTATTAAATAACATTTTCACAAAAAGAGCTCGTGGTCGAGTCTCACGCAAACGTACAATGTTGTCAACGATATTCGACAAACACAAATTCCTTTCTGAGCATCTTTGTAATACAGCTTGCTATAAGCTCGTGTTCTTGTAGCACTTTGTGTCAAGAATATTTGCTTGTAAACTTCTTGCTAAACTTAATCGTGTTAATCAATTCTACGCAATGCTTCATCGTTTTTCGTCGCTAGCGATCCGATGTAGGATTCGACAACGCAAATTGATTGTAGGTCCGAGCGCAGCTTGCGCAGTAGAAACGTAAATTGCAAATTCTGATCTGCAAGAGTCATACTATAAGCGAGCGCGAGATGAGTGTATGACTAACCGACGCAAAGGTTACCGAGGAAACGAATAAATAAGTCAGAGCAACATAAATATTGAAATTAAAATTGTGCGAATATTGTAAAAGCGGTCAAAGCACCTGTACATGAATCGACTAAATGTCGTGCGGTATCGAATACAGTTTTTCCAGTATTCCCGAAATGTTACGTACAGGATGACTCAAAATACGAGTCTCAAACTAGCGACACAGTTATAATTACCCATTTGATCAAGTAGCTTTTCCCAAACTCTGCAGCAACTGCCGATTGAACTGAAATTCGTGAATACTGCCCTTGACGTTAAGGTGAACAAAGCACAATAATTCGGCCAGCCGTCTTTGTCGTCACCATCTCTGTATGACACGGCAAGTCTCTTACTCCTGATTCACGAAGGCAAAGACAAAGCTTTCAACGTATGGCAACCATCAATGCTGCTCACTTGTGATTTTACTATGCGTCTAACATACTCACCACTACGTAAGCTTTCTCATGATAGCAATCGGTCACAAATGCACGGTACCCAGACGTGACTGATTGAACAACCTCTATTGCAACGGCAAACATGGTGCAGTGACGGCAGTTGCAGCGAGCGCAAACTCCACACTTTGTTCTTATACGTCTGCAGCAGCTTCAACCAGACGGCTCAGTGGTGTCATTCTGCTTGCTGTAGCATCGTGGAACAAAACGAACCGTGGCCGACGGCAATGGCATTCCTCACCGTCTCCATTCTTGCCGACGTGGCTTGCTACATACACAGTCATGAAACAACGACCTTTTGATGCTTCAATAGTCGCCATTGTGCAACAAGTATACCACTAACACATCTGCCGTCTCTCTCGTCTGTTGTCGTACCGCTGTAGGAAAAAGCGGGGACACTATGCGACTCCAACACCTATTGCCGCCTCATACGCTCTATACTACAGCAGACTCGCTTTCCAAGGCATTGCGTTCTTTCGACAGTGCCGCGTCACTGACATGTGATCTGCACGTTGATGTTGGGAATGAAGTCAGAGCGGCAAAAATAGCCACTGCGTGGATATCTAACGAAGGGACCTCACGTCGTCACGACAACCGAGACAACGCTCGACGTGGAATATGTATACATCACGCTCTCTCGTATACGAAGCGGACACAGACAAGCCAGTAATCGATTTAAGTAGCCACATTGGGACGCGCCCGACGTGGCATCCGTCCATCCCCTGTATCCGCCACGTTTTTATCACCTTGAAGTAACGCCATACCGGGTCAGTGACGCGCGCGACTTCACGGCCGTCATCCGTCGCCCCGTCATATCCGTTTCTCCGTGAGCAGATCCATACAAACTTCAACGTCCATTGACGCCCACGTGCCGCCAAAGCCAAATCCGCGCGACTTACGGAACGGACCTCCTCGACATATGTATCCTGGAACCGATTTCACCCCATCCATCGTCACGTGTCACTTTCTGCTATTGGTGAGACAAAACAGCGCCAAAACGACAGACAAACGGACAAACAAACACACAGCACCTCAAGAGCTCATTTCGCGTTTTGCCTGCGCTCGCTCTCTCTCGCACTTTCTCTCTTTCTCTCCCTTTGACGCACTCGATCCCATGTCGCTCGCTGCCCCACTCGTGTGTCGTCGTACCGACGCGAACTTTGACGCTGCGCTCTTAGCACTCGCCCAGAGCCGCCACACGATCTACGAGCACACGCACATGGCCGGCGAACATTGCCGCGCACATCGTATGCTGCGCGTTTATCAGTATGACCCGTTGCCCGACGCGCTCGAAGCTTTGTATGCCCGCACGCTGTCCAAGCGCTTTTGCACTGTACCAGTAGCCGATGCAGCAGCAGCAGCCGTAGCAGTCGATGCTGTCAATGGGTTTGAGACGCTGCGGCTCGTCCTGCACAGTTCGCGCTCGATCGATGGCCAGAGGCGGCTCTCGGGCGAGAACCGCAGAGCCCATTGTATGCTGCCCACGGACGTCCGTGTGGAGCAGTTGGACTGTGGCTCGGACACGTTGGACGCGTGTTACGTGAACGCGCTGACCAATTACTTTGTGACCAGAAGCGCGAGTCGCTTGTGACGACAGAGAAAGAGAGACGACTTGAGGAGTATGGCTTTCGGTCCTGTGGTGCGGCCTGCGTCACGCTGTTGTATGGGATAAAAGGGCACGAGCACTTTGGATCAAGAAGATGGCGATGCAGTGTCGAGTTTGAGCTATGGGGGGTTTGTGGCGAGCATTTCATCATTCTGCGACGGTCCGCTGGATTAGGGAAACTCAGTGGTGGAAGAACAAGCGCTGGCGAGTTGACGGCGGATTATGTGGTGTTATCGGGGAACGTCTTGCAGTCCGAAAGGATCGAGAGACATTGGGATGTCGCATATTGATGCGGTAGTACAGTGTCCATTCATTGTGGTAAACGCTGTACCCGTTGCTGCTGCATAAATTGTGGCGGTCTTCACGTGTTTGGTGACTACAGGCAGGCGCAATGGGATCGTCAATGACTAATGACGTGGATATGATCGGTAGCTCATCTGGACTGCCCGTGAATCGCATGTGGGCTTCTTCAATTTGCTTTAGTTCACCAAAGTCACTGGACCAACGACGTTGTACACGACAGCCTTTTCATCATCGCTGCATGCTAAAGGAAGCGTAAGTGGTTGCTGTGATAAGGAGAGCTGACAGACCCATCGATTCTGTCCACCATAAGCTGGTAAAAATGTATGACACGTGCAAGTAGCATGTTAAATTGTGTGTGACATGTGCGAAGAGTGTGCACACGCATCTTCATGTAGCCGGTTAACAAGTCGGTGTTGTGAGTTGCGTGGATTCTACAAACCTCATCTGGAGAAACCACATAAGCACTAGAGCGTAGCAAGCTATTCAATCATCGACTTGATCGATACTGCTATCGGTGCAGTTGTCCTGCAGCTTTGCAACTTGCCGGTATCACCTGCCAAACGTTGTGAAGTGAGCAGCGTGACATAACGGCGAGCACGACTTCATCTCTCGTACTTACATCTCCACGTGCTTATCTCAAGGCTCTAGACCCCGTCTCAAGACCACACCTCGTCGCACAATCCCGCAAACAGTCCAACTGCCCCAGCAGTACAGCACATCGTTTCCACCTCAGTTCGCTTTTCTCCTCCAAGCCAAGTCGATCGTTGTTGCACAAGATGCACATTGCATTCAGGTCGAGTCTGCTTTTGATTGTTGCAGCTTTTTCCAGCGTAGCTGCTGCTCCCTGCAACACTGCTGCATTGTCGAGACTGCTCGTGACTGGAAATGTGACAACGTGTCGAAGAGACGCTGGATACGACCCCACGTCGATGGCAATGCCGGCAGACGCGCAAATTACAGCAGTCTGCAACAGCGATGCGTGCAAGAAGTCGATCAGCGCCATGAAAGAAGTCGCACCTGACGAATGCACAGTTGGCCCCATTCGCATGTACGCGAACGTGATCAACCCCTTGTCGCAGCGTTGCGGCATCAACTCGACGTCGGAGCCTACGGCTGGAAATGCTGGACCAGTTGCTGGGAATACAAGTCAACCTGCGAACGGCAACATGACTGGATCAGCGGCAAATACTTCCGAACCAAATACGCGGTCAAACTCTAGCTCACCTTCACCGACTGCTACTGCTGGAAATGGAAGCACTAATGCTCTTACCATTCCGATGTGCGCGGCTATTGCAGCGCTTGTGGCAATGGTCACTTTGCTTCTATGAGATATCGTTGCAACCGGAAGTCCCCGCATGGAGTCGCGCATTTGTGCAAGGCTGATCACTAAAACAACCACAAAAACAATAACCGCTTGAGATCATTCATTTTTACCACCTTGTGTGCTTTCCCCCCTTCGCAACCATGGAGCCTTCTCTGCAATGTCTAGCATGCTTTGCAATCACAAATACGCATCATGGAGAACTGATCATGCGTATAATTCCCGTTCGTGGGAAAGCTTTACCCGCGGATATACACAATACAGCATCGCCATCATCTTCAGGTGAACAGGAAGCTGCCTTCTACAAACACACGCTACGCCGAGTCGTGCTGGAGCTGAATGAGCGCGACTTCCGTGCGGTCGATAGCAGACTGCACACGCTCAGCCTCGAATGCGTCAGCAGGCAGCGTTAAATAGGCATCACCGTCAAGCTCGACTGGCAAGAACCCGGCTTCGGCAAGAATATCAAGAGCACCAGGCACAGCCACGACCTTGGACTGAACCAACGCGTTCGAAATCCGAATCTTGCGAAACTTTTCCTCCTGCCAAGAAAAAGTTGATACCACAGGTAATCAGCCAGCTGTACAGCAACGGCGACAGTCGCATTAACCAAACCTGTGGGTTCTTTATAACGTTGCTCAGCATCTTTATCAGCGTTTCTGCTGCTGTGATTGCACGTGTCGGGTCTTGACGAAGCAACACGTACACAGCACCGTTCTCACCAGCATTGCGATCTGCCACTACAGTGTCAGGTAGTGCAGCACGAGACATCTCTCCAGATGGTACAGATGCTGTCGTAGCACCACTGCTCTCTCCCATCATAGGCCCTGCATTTCCGCCAATGCCATTCATAGCAGACACCGCCTGTGTCGAGGATGAAATCGTAACTGCGTACGGATTGAAGCCCATCTGCGCCTGAGCGCTCTGCAGCTCTCTTGCTTTAACTACTTCATTCGAAAGCACGACAGACACCGAGCTCGGTTCAGCGGCAGTGGCTGCTGCATCGGTGTATTCAAACTTGGTCTCGCGCTCCTCATCCTGCTGGAGCCTCAATTTGCGTGCTGTAGCCACACGCTTGTCCCAGGCATTGCCACGCTGCTCCATAGCTTTGGCCTGCATCCAATAGCCTCAGCCTTTTTCCCATAGTCACTAGATCTCGTAGCCAGGAGCGCTGCTAGTACGCACCTGCAGCTCACGTCTCTCCTGTTGTTCGTCTTCCGATAGAGCAGGAGGTTTCGTCGTGATAAATGGCAGCTACAAGTGGTGTTCGGCATACAAAAAGCCATACAAAACACGAAGCAAACCACCGGTCAGAGCTTACGGCCCGTGAGACGGGACAGATAGAGAAAACATGGAGGGCACCTTTAGTGACGGACCGCGAGACGGCGCGGCGGCGGGCGGCGGCGCAGACGAAGCAGCGGAAGACCCTCCGAGCACATTCCCTTCGCCTTGGAAGGTCGACCGCTGGTTCTTCATCTTGGCTGCTGCCCGCTTCGCCGCCTTCTTCTTCTTGTTGAGCCAGTCCATGGCGCACGCGCAGGGCTGGACGGGATGGGCCAAAGTTGACGGTTGCGGACCGAATGTCACGGTGGACAGGGAATATTGCGCTTTTGGCGTGATATTCGGGCTACGTGTTAATATTGTGGTTTGTACGTGGCCTCGTGTTCTGCTGACTCGGCGAATCAAACAGCTTTTTTCGAAACGAATCGTGTCACGGAAATCGCAGTGGTAGTGATAGGTTTATAACAGGCAAATACGCGGAGGCTGCATCAATTAATCAGGAGGCCTATATGCTCGCATGGCGAATGTGCTGGGGGGACCGATTCGGACCAGAGGAGATCAGCAAGACTGCAAGTGTCAGTGGACGTTCGCACGCAAGTGAAGTGTAACTAGATTCGATGAGCACCATGCAGGAAAGACAGAAAGCATAATTAAAAATATCTAGATGAAAACAGGTGCCAGACGCGTTTCGGCTCTAAGCCGGGGGCCTCGTCAGTGGCTTTGTTGATAGGGAAGTAAGCCATACTCTATTCTACGCTAGCACCGACTTAGAACCTTCGAATCTTAGTGAGATTACACATGTACGACACCACGACCGACAAGCCTGGCAGCTGGGGCGTCGACCAAAAAGAAGTGTCCGCAATGACAACTCCACAGATAATATATTTATGTTAGTGGATACATGACTTTTTGGCGTCCACCTATCTGTAGATGTATATTTATCAAACTCTTAGCTCTATCTCATTCAGTTTGTCAACAGACTCGATCGACAGGCGTGCCTCTTGTCTTGCTGCTTCCTTCAGTCAGGGAAGGTCGACGAACGGATAGATCCGATACTCCCTCCTGTTTAGGCAACCTCCGCTCATACACTGACCCTTCGATCCGTTTCTTGACTCGACATGACCCATGCTACATGCATACTTGTGTTTAATCATGCGTGAGTCTTATTGACAAAGATGGCGAGAAGTGAAATTCACTTTCCCTTTTGCACTGCAGAAGACACGCGTTGGTTTCTTACTGTTAAAGGGTTAATGGCCTAAATTGACGAATCAGCTGATGTCAGTAAATGGCAACATCTTAAGATAATACACAAAACTATACTCTCTGATAGATAAGAAACAATGTTGACATTCATCAATGTCAACATCATGCATCGTGGGACTGTTACACAGTCACCTGTTACAAACAGCGTGGATGGGTCAATCTGGCTTCAGAAAATGACGAGCATTTGATCATCTGGCATTGCATCGGGTTCAGTGTCGAAAGCCGTGTTCGGTGGAAGTAAGGCAGCGACAAAAGTGTTTCTGATTGCTACGTCGGAAGCAATTGCAACTATCTCTTTCGATTACTGCCATTTGGTGTCGAAATGAGCAGTCGATGCTTGTGCCATGCTTACGACGCTGGTATCGGAACTAGACCTGCTGCATTTATTTTGGTTCATTCCTGGTGGCCCAGGTTCCTTCCAAGTGATGGTATTGGAGTACGTGATTCCAGACATATCTATGCTGTCAAGAAATGCCGCGGACATGCCATCAATGGAGAGTTGGTTGATTTTGAGCAAGGCCGTACTTGTGACATGCCCTAGGCTAGCAGAGGGACCGATCGGGTCAGAGGAGCTTGTTGGAAGGCAACTCTGGTATGTGTGATAAAAGTGAAAATGATCTGAATGCTAGCGATAGCGCGTGGCGCTCTACACATACTCGCTACTGATATTATGTGTGTCGTGAGCGCTCAATGTGTACTACGTTTCATACGCGTGGGTTCATACTGGCTGATTCTGGTCTGGTTGGTAATGATATGCAATGAGCTGACAACTGGTCGGAACAGGTTGAAGTGGAGATGACGTCTCAGGAATTTCATTCTCTCCCCGTAAACTTGTGCGCTAACACGGGAACACGCGTCAATTGTTTTCGTGTAGCGTGGTCGATCCTTTGCCGTGGGCGTCCGTGATGGTGAATGGTCCATTGGCTACTGGACAAGTCCTCGCGCAAAACTGCTTTGGTACTCGAAACATGACGTTGTCACCGACGTTGTAAAAAGTATGAAATGCGCCTTTTGTTTTCTCGGTCGTTGTCGGAGAGAATCGCGTCGAATTGCCTCTTGGACATGTAGCTACAGTTTGCTTCGTACAGTTGCGTGTGATCGTGTCCTGACCAAAGATGAGTTGGTCAAGTGATGCGTTCAGTATGCTGTGGTAACTGGATGGAAGAGCGAACGCGACGTAACACAGTTCTTTCTTCCAATCGATATTATCATGGCAACGAACACCATTGAAAAACTCTATGTGGACGCGCTCGCAGATTGCATCGGCTTGCGGATTATTTGCAGTGATCGGCTTCGACTTGATCCCGTAGATCTGCAAGAGTTCTTGAAACTCCTTACCAGTGAACTCAGCACCAATATCATAAATGACTTGAACTGGACGTGGATAATGGCAAATCCACTCGCGGTCAAAGCTCTCCACTGTCGCCAGGTTGTTCTTGTCTGATTTAACGCCGACTTCGAGCCAGCGTTTCGCTTGATCGATGATCGTGATATTGTAATAGTCATCGTACGGAACAATAAGGTCGACGCGCACGACGTACCACGGGTCCACTGTCTTGGACGTCCTTGGTGGTATTAGTCTGTAGTCTTTTCTGCCGCCGTGGATTGTAAATCGTTTGCACGTCAGACACAACTTGACGCGCTTGATCATCGACGCTTACATTGCAAGCCAGTAGAGCGACTGTCGCATCGTCTTGTATTGGTGACAAGGACTATCTTGCCCGAGATTGTGGTGGTACCTATCCTGGAGATCGTCACGCAACGTGTCCGGAACAGCGACGCGACCTTGAAATGAGACAAGCGTGCATCCTAGTAGAGCATTAACTTGTAGTCCGGGTTGTTCCAGTCGGCGAGGCACACAGACTTGATCGTTTGGATCGTTTCATCGCACTCCTGGAGCTGGCAGATGCCTGGGCCGTGCATGACACATGGTCGATCGTTCGTCGCGGCGTTGATCCTGTCGTGCATTTGCGTTTGCTCTGCTGTGTCAAATCACATGCGGGAAAAGGCATCCGCGCAGACGTTCTTTATGCCCTTGATGTAGTGCAACGACAAACGGTACTCGGAAAGCAGCAGCTTCCAGCGCTTGACTCTGATACTCGTTTCGTTCGGATAGATGAGGTTTTTGTGATCGGTGTGCACAATGACATCAAAGCCAAGCAGCATGGTGCGATACTCGCGAAGCAGCTCCACCATCGACAGGAGCTCGAGCTCCATCGTTGTATAGTTGATATGGTGCTTGTTGAGCGTGCGAGAGTAACAGGTGAGGATTATGAGGATTATGTTTTCTTGCATCGCGATGACACCAAGCTGCTTTCCACTTGCATCAGCGTAAACGTGGAACGGGAGTTTAAAGTCAGAAAAAGCCAGCAACACATCTTCTGTAAACGCGGAAGGGGAGCTTAAAGTCAGGGAAAGCCAGCAACACAGCTTCTGTAAACGCCTTCTGGACGGCAAGAAACGCGTCGGTGTCGCTTTGCAGCCATGTGAATGAGACTTTGGAGCTCGTGAAGCGGTTCAGCGGCGCACATAGTGCTGACTTGTTGGGGACCATATCGCGATCGTAGTCGATCATGACGAGGAAGCGACGTAGCTCTTTCTTGTTGCGAAGAACAGCAATCTTGTTGATTGCTTGAATCTTCTTCGCTTGTGCTTGAATGACCTGAGCTGTGAGTGTAAAGCCAAGGTATTCGACAGACTTTCGCAGTACGTGACACTTATTTCCATTGAGTATTACGTCGTACGTGGCCAGAAGGTCGAACACCACACGCAGGTGCTCGACGTGCTCGCACTCGGTGTTAGAATACACGAGTAGGTCATACAAGTAAACGATCACTAACGCGAGATCGCCGAAGATCTTCTCCGTGCACGCTTGATACTCATCGGGTGCCGTTGAGATCCCCATTGGCAGACCTTTGTACTGGTACTTTCCGAATGGAATACAGAACGCCGTGTCAGCTCGACTCTACTTGGCAAGACGCCTGGCATAATTCCCCATGTTTGCGTCGAATGTAGAGAGGAACTTGGCGCCAGACAAACACAACATGATCTCGCGTATATTGGAAACGTAATACGTAATACGGACTGCGACACAGGTACTTACTCAGCACTCGGAAGTCGATAAGAAAACGCAGCGAGACATCTTGCTTCGTGATGAAGAAGACTGGGAATGCCATCTCGGACTCGTAGCTTTGCTCAAGCACATCCGCGTCTAGCAGGCGCTGGATCTCGACCTCGGCCTTGGCCTCCATAGAGCGATGCAGTGCGTACGGACTTGCATGGGCGGCACGGTAGTTCGGCGACAGTGGGAGCACGTATTCATCAAAGCGCATTCGACCCAAGTGACCGCCGTACAGTGGCTGATGCTCCTCCAAAAGATTTATGCCGCGAGCGGCGAGAGGTGTTGGCAGGTGATCGGGCGTTAAGTCGGTAGGATGGGCACCGTCGTTAACGACCTCCTTGTACTCGTCTAAAAACTCGCGATCAAGTGTGTCCGCGCGAACCGATGCTGTGCCACTGCCACCCATGTTAAACGACTTTTGGTTTCCGTTACTCTGGACGACTTTGTCGTTGAAGTTAAGCACAATTCCGAGCGAAATAATGAGATCGCGCCCAACTTGGATGTCGTTGATTACTTCAAAATGATGAGTGATTGTAGTCGTAGGTTTAGCTTGGGAAGCGAACTGCGCAATCGTGGAGCCGCTGCTCGTCACGTCGCCACCAACTGTCTTGAACGTTGTAGATGAGGGAGCGAGCTTGCTTCCATGCTCGATCTTGGCGCTCATCTTGATTGTATTGATGATGCTATTTGATGCACCGCTGTCGAACAGAGAGTCGGACGTGCAGTTGTCGTGTCGAATCTGCATCTTGATCGCAGTGGCGCGATCTTGTTCGCTGGCTCTTTCTCCGGCAAGCCGATCAGCTTGATCTCGTCTTCGCTGTCACTTAACTCGTAGATGCTAGGGCAGTTCATTGTCAGCTGC